TAATTAATTAATATTAATATAATAAAATATAAATATATATATTTATATATATATTAAGTTTATTTATTTTGAGAGAGAACACAAGCAGGGGAGGAGCAGAGAGAGAGAGAGAATTCCCAGCAGGCTCTACACTGCCAGCACAGAGCCTGATGCAGGACTTAAACCCACGAACCTGACCTGAGATCATGACCTGAGTCGAAATCAAGAGTCAGACACTCAACTGACTCAGCCACTCAGGCGCCCCAGGAAAGGCTTTTCTTAATTATTAGTGTTGTTATAGGAATTTTTGATAATGCAAATAACAAATGATCTGGTATTTATTTATTTCAGTTAGGGAGAGTAAAATTTAAGCCCTATCCCACTGAATTTCTAAGATAGTTTCATGCTTTTTTAAAACCTATATGAAAAGAAAAAAAAAAACAACCTATATGTACTGGATGGGATACAAGTGAAAAGGGGGCCCCACCAGGTCCTGACTCAGTAAACTAGGAGACGTTGGGTCAATGTCCTATCTCCACTCTAGGCCTTAGGTCCCTCAGATGTGTAACAAAAAGATTCTGTTCAGTGTTGGGTGATGTTCTCCCTTATTCTAGCAGTAACATCTATGATCTGTGAAGGCCACTGCCACCACCTGGATATTTCCCGTTTCGTTGAAAGATTCCTCCGACTGGCAGATTCCCAAACTGGCCTTATAGTTATGTTGTGACTGGTTTAAATTTTTTTTTTTTAATGTTTATTTATTTTTGAGAGAGAAAGAGACAGAGCATGAGTGGGGAGGGGCAGAGAGAGAGGGAGACACAGAATCTGAAGCAGGCGCCAGGCTCTGAGCCATCAGCCCAGAGCGCCACGCGGGGCTCGAACTCATGGACCGCGAGATTGTGACCTGAGCTGAAGTCGGACGCTTAACCGACTGCGCCACCCAGGCGCCCCTGTTGTGACTGGTTTAAACATGTCGTGTTGAGGCTCTCTCATGCCACAGTTAAATGCTCTGTCAATCCTGCATTCTCAGTTGTGCCCTCACTCACCTCTGTACCTCACGCACTCACCTCTACCATCTTCGCGCCCTCCAGTTGAGATGAGAAGGCAGCAGAAACCTGCCTGCCATGGGTAGAACCATTTGGAGCTTCGTATGGGGGACCTCAAAGGTTTCTTAGCTTCTTGTAATGATGAGTCCCTTTGGGAAGGAGATTAGAGCTGTGACCAGTCCCCTCAGAGAAATAAATGTGCTCTCAAAATTCCACATGCAATTGTGGGAGTGTTGCCTTCGGAGGTGTCCCAGGTGAAGAGCTCATCTGTACAATTTGGGTGGCCCAGGTTACCTCTGTGACAGCTCTGGTCCTCAGTTTTCATGACTATAACATGAGAGAATTAGTTGAAAGCCTCTTTGGGCCATAGAAATGTGATGATTCCTCACCACAAAGTTAAGTCCAGAAGATCTAAAGGAAGTTGCACATGAGACACTTGTGTTTCAGAAACTCCTACTCTGCCTTTTGGCCAATAAGTCCTTCGTGAATATTTATTTAATCAAATTTCATTAGATAAATAGAGATTAATTTTCTTCTGACCTTGCTGTTTATCTTGACTAGCTCTGAACAAGCCCTAGGGTGCAGATTTGAATCTGCAACTTAACGCAGACGTTCTGTGACAGTGACTGCATGACTCTAACAAATTAATCCATTTCTATCCATTTGACATAGTGCATGATTGGGAATGTTAACAACAGTCAGTAACTGAAAATATGTAATGTGACTATGACAGCATGATTAATATTAACAATGGTTGTCTTTTTTTTATTGCTAGACTTTATATCCCTAACAGTCAAAATACTAAATCAACAGATTTCTTGTCTAATTTGTCTTATAATCTAAGCTATTGTTATTTATGCTTTGCTTCATACCTTAGTTCAATTTATCTGGCTTTTTGTCTTAATTTTCCTTACTTTTATCTCCTTTCTGATTCTGTTTTTCTATAGCAGATGTCCTTACTGCTTCTCCTGCTCCTAACAGTCAGGAAGGTAAAGCCATTCGAACTGGGCATTTTAACTGCATGAATGTCAGCATTCTGTGTCCAATTTCTTAGGCCTGAATTAGCATGACATCGTGACACTGATATGAGTAAAAATGTAATAAAATGATTGATCTCATTTACTTCTTGGCAGCCTGCATGGCCCTTATTTGGTATAAGAATATTTTGGTCTTAACATTTTTGGTCTGATGAGATCATGAACCTTAGGTGAGAAATGAGAGCTTTCTTGTTTTTCATTTTAAGAGGATAATTGTCTAACACCTGTAAAGTCATTTTTTTAATGTTTGTTTATTTTTGAGAGAGAGAACGCTCATGTGTGAGTGAGGGAGGGGCAGAGAGAGAGGGAGACAGAGGATCCGAAGCAGGCTCTGCCCTGAGAGCACAGAGCCCGATGAGGGGGCTCAAACTCATGAACCGTGAGATTATGACCTGAGCCGAAGTTGGAAACTCAGCCAACTGAGCCATCTAGGCACCCGTAAAGTCATTTTGGATGACTTGGATAGAAATACCAAAACAAGAGCAAAGTAAAAGATCATATGTCATGCTTTACATATTTTTAAACATACTTTAATTTCTATCCTCAAGAGTTTTGCTTAATAAATTCATAAACAATTATGGAAATTTGACTTTCCGATTAAGTAGAATTGTGAAAAATGCATTGCAGATAACAGTATCTTTTTCCTGCAGGTTTTGGCATTTCTAGAGGTAAAAGAAGCTAATAGCTTATTTTAAAGTGAGAGTGATTAACTCACATATGCACCATCTACAAGTGCTTCCACAACTAAATCCTCCCCTAACTTGTGCACCGGGAACTTCTGGCACAGGGTGCTTTCTGTAAGGTTTGCACAGTCCTAATTATCTGTACAGACACGAGCCTTCTCATTAAATGATGTCTGTATGGTACCAAAACTACTGGTAAATGAGTCCATTCAATTAAAAATAAACACATCCTATACCACATCTAACAAATTTTAAAAATTACACCCCAAGCCATCATTTTGGTAACATAGTAGCCAGATCCTCAGCCTTAACAGATAAGCACCAAGTGACGGGATATCTTTACAAAGATGTCAACATAGCCCTGAAGTGCAACATTTGGTTCTTGTTTGCTGAAGCCTGCCAACTTATTTTCAGACAACATTCTAGAAGACAGACCTGAAAATAAATCATGTAATGACAAGCTTCAGTTTGAGTATAATGAAGAAATCCCCAAGAGGATAAAGAAAGCAGATAACTCTGCTTGCAACAAAGGAAAGGTGGGTGAATGGCTTCTGTTAAGTTACACTTGGACCATGGTGCTCTTGTCAGTATCAGGTAGAATTTCACTCCCTCCCTGTCCCTTCCCTTCACTTTTCCCCTCACTTTCCCTTAGATGCCAAAGCCCACACGGTGATGCTATGGGACACCCACCTGCCATTTGTAGAAGGTTAGTCACTGGTTCATCCAGCCAATACCTGCGGAAGGTGTGCAGTGTGGCAGGCACTGAGATGACACTGGAGGTGCTTTAGTGATGGAGACAAATAGGTAAACAGTGCTTACAGATAAGTACAAAGACCAGTGATTACACAGGGTTGTCAGAGCATCAGGGAGGATAATGTTAGAAGATTTGGCCAAGCAAACAAAAACAGGACATATTTAGGCCAGGAGGACAGCCTGGCACATTCAAGGAATTTCTAGAATTTTTAAAGTTTTTGGAATAACCAAGCAGATAAACAGGGCCCAGACTGTGAAGTGTTCACAGAGGAATGACGCAGAGAATAGAAATGTAAATGAGACACCCAGACCCTGCCTTCCAGGGCCTCACACTACGTAGAATCTGAGCAAATGTACAGACACAGTTGCAGAGACACCGTTAGAGAGCCAGATAATAAGGTATGTCAAAAATTTGAGCCATAAAAGACGCATCCTCAATCACCTAGTCATTCAACAAATATGCACTGACTGTTACACATTGAAGACACTGGACTATGCCCCGGGGAAGAGGAGGAAGAGCTTACTCTCAGAAAGCTTTTACTCTAGGAAGTATGTTGGGACGTTTATATGGAACGATACACAGCAATGTGAAATGCACTGATGACATGAGAAAGGAACAGATAAAGCCTTGGGGATTCAGAGGTTGGCGGCATATACTCTCCATGTAAACTGGCATTATTTTTCCCTTGTTAGGTTTATGACATGGAACTGGGAGAAGAATTTTATCTCCCTCAGAATAAAAAGGAAAGCAGACAGATTGCACCAGAGCTCTCTGACCTTGTCATCTATTGTCAAGCAGTAAAATTTCCAGGTAAGAGTAGGCAATATCTTCTATAACAACTAAAGATACCAAAAGATAAAAATATGCTATTTATTTAATTGGACATTGTGAATGCTTTCAAAATAACTAAATTGTGTTACCAAAGTCATTGTTATACTAGTTTCTAAATATTTATTATTATTATTATTATTTTATTTTTATTATTATTATTATTAGCTTTGATGTTGGTAAGGAAAATACCATAAAGTGTTTATTTTCAAGATATCATGTCTTTTCATAAGAATTAATAATAATGATAATAATATTCATGACATCTAATAGCTAAAATTTATTAAGCCCTTCAGTACCAGAAATTGTGCTAAGTATTTTATATATGTCATGTTATTGATTTCATATTAATTCTCTGAGGTAGACGGGTTTGTCCCCATTTTTAAATAAAGCAAAATCTGAGAGATATGAAGTAATTGCCCCAAGGTTGCCAAGTTTATCAGTAAGATTCTTTTGTTTAAAAGTGGTAGAAATTAACTTAAGCAAAAAAGAAATTTATTGGCTCATCTATTAAAAAATGAAGGGATATTCAAGTTTCAGGTACAGCTTGATCCAGGGCTTCTCTCTCCCCATTTCTCATTCTGCCTCCTCTGCATTACCTTTGTGCTTGCAAGGTGGCTGCAACAGACTAGCACCACATGTTTCCAGATTAACTTCAGTCTGAGAGTCTCTTCCAGAACTTTCAGCACCAGTTTCATTGTTTTCCATTAAGCCTTCTGCCCATCCCTGAACCAGTCAGTCACTGTGGCCCAGAGAATGCAGTGCTCTGACAGTGAGGTCCTATGGCACATTCTTCATCTTTGAAGATGGGTAGTGAGGCTCCACTCAAACCACAAGGACCCAGGATGGGATTTCAGTGAGAGAAAGTTTCCCCAACTTGCCATTTCTAGAAGTACAGTGAACTTATGATGATAAACCATGCCCCCATACACACAAAATGTGCATTTCAGTTAATAAATGGTAGAGCTATGATTCTGAAGCCTGTCTATCTCCAAAGCCCTGCTCTTAACCATTGCACTACCCTGCCCCTGTTGTTAGGGTGTGCTCTCATTGTGTTTACACACTTGAGTGTCCCACAAGTGGGGCAGCAAGGGCTGCAGGGAAAACAGGAAAGTCCATAAATATATGAAAGTCAGAAAAATTCATCTCCTTATACTATGAAAACAGGATTCCCTCGTACAAAATTTCTAAGGACAGGACAGCAGCTTGATTCTGGAGATTCATCTAAAATGTTGGGAAACAAGGTGTACAAACTTGTTCTGGAGAGGAAAGTTAAAATAGCAATGCTGTGTATGAACGCAGATCCCAGCCTCCAGAGGCATATCTTAAGCCTCACTTCTCACACTGCCCTGCAAACAGGACAAAGGTATTAGGGTATTAAAAAATTAGGTAAGGGACCCCTGGGTGGCTCAGTCGGTTAAGCATCATGATGACTCTTGATTTTGGCTCAGGTCGTGATCTCACAGTCATGAGATCGAGCCCCAAGTCGAGCTTAACACTGACAGCTAGGAGCCTGCTTGGGATTCTCTCTCTCTTTCCTCGCTTTCTGCCCCTCCCTCACTCGCACAGTCTCTGACTCTCAAAATAAATAAACAAATAAACTTTTAAAAGATTAAATAATAGTGGTCTTTTCACACACATGGAAAAAAATCACAGATAGGACTTTCTCAACTTTAAGTTTTCTCCCACGTACTGTTTTTAAACTTTTGGCAACTGCTGCTGCTTATCGGATAGCAAATTCTGTCAAGGAGAATGTGAATCAATAAGCAGCGATCAAAGATTTCGAGGAAACATAAGAGCCTCGCTACTTCGGTTTAGTTCACAGATCGTGACTTTCTGTCCCGTAAATACAATAGGATCATATTTGCAGCTGGTGACATTGTTCTCATGACAGAATAAAACCCTTTTCCTGTCAAGGAGCCTCATGGCCTGCATGTCCTTTGTGACAGGAACAAGCGTGAGGACCACTCTGTTCACAAATGACACCCACACTCAAGAATCACTGCGTCTCTTGTACTTTGTAAATTCTGCTGACACCACACCCAAACCATTGCATCGGCTTTGTCTTTTCTTCTCAAGCGCTGGTTAAAGGGCACCCATCCCCAAAGATATTTGAGGTCACTGTGAAAGAAAGTTTCGTAGCAGTAGAGCATTGTGGGAGAGCCAGAAGGTCATTGGGTCCAACTTCTTACGTGAGGCGCAGGCTAAGCGTGGGGTTATTTGGCTTATGTTTAAAATTCCAAGAATGCTGTTGTGTTTTTTTTAAAGTGTTTATATAGCACACATTCTTTATAGGTATGCTACATTTAATTTTTTTTTTTTAGTAATTGAAACCTCTTACATTTTTCTCTCCCAAAATTTATTTCCTTTCTCAAACTTAACATTGTGTTGCCAGAATCATTGTTATAATGGCTTCTAAATATGTATTGGTATTATGATTTATTTCAATGCTCATGGGGGAAATACCACAAAATGTTTATTTTGCTACACTATTGTTTGTGTTTGCTACCTTATCAATTTCAATGCAGCTCACCTTCACCAACTCCCTTCCAAGGAGACGTTTGCAGACAAATCTTCAGAGCATTGAGGCACCACAAAGATCATGTGGTGTGACCTTCCCCCAAAGTAAATGAATCTCCCCAAGATCATGAACCTGCTTTGGTGGCAGGGCTCTTCCAATTCCTTATCTGTAAAAAAAAAAAAAAAAAAAAAAAAAAAGGCTTCACAGTCCTAACCTGCAGGATGGTTGTAAAAATCAGCAGTAAAGTATAGAATGTGATTAACACGCTCTCCAGGAAAGAACTGGCTCTCTGGAAGTAGTTGTTGTCATTGTCATTGATAAATGGGCCAATAGGGCAGGAGAAGGCTCTTTGTTGCTCTATCAGTTAGTTCTCTGGGCCTCCCCAGATTCCTTCCCTTTTCTTGATCACCCAGCTCTTGTTTTCTTGCTTCCTCACCCCAAGAGAACAACCAGGCTCTTCACAAAAGGGCCCACATACCCTTCAACATGTGCCAGGATGCGTACAAAAACCCCAGAATGAACAGGCCCCTTGCTCTAGTTCCTTGTCCCTGCCCCCCCCGCCCCCCCGCCATCGGTTATACTTGGGAGAAAACCTAAGTTTCATTTTCTGTCATGATGCAGAGTGCAAAATTCACACAACATTTTAAGATAAAGCATGAGAACCTCCTAGTCCAAGTTTGTGTTGCATCTTTGTGGTTACAGATACTTAAGAGAAAACAAAATTTAGAAGCCCCACAGCTGCTATGAACTGAGCACTTTCTCTGACCAAGACACTCTACTAAGTATGTATATATACCATGATCTCATTCAACCCTAACCACCTTGACCCTTTTACAGATGAGGAGGGAGTGATGCAGAGAGGTTAAGTAATTTGTGTGAGGTCGCACAATTTGTGTGAGGTTTCAACCCCAAAGTCTGTGCTTTTCTTTTCTTTTTTTTTTTTATGTTTAATTATTTTTGAGAGAGAGAGAGACAGAGCACAAACAGGGGAGGGGCAGAGAGAGAATCGGAAGCAGGCTCCAGTCTCTAAGCTGTCAGCACAGAGCCCGATGCAGGGCTCAAACTCAAAAACCATGAGATCCTGACCTGAGCTGAAGCCGGACACTTGGCCGACTGAGCCATCCAGGCGCCCCTCAGTCTGTGCTATTCTTTTTTTTTTTTTTTTTAATTTTTTTTTTAATGTTTATTTTTGAGACAGAGAGAGACAGAGCATGAACGGGGGAGGGTCAGAGAGAGAGGGAGACACAGAATCCGAAGCAGGCTCCAGGCTCTGAGCTGTCAGCCCACAGCCCAAGGCGGGGCTCAAACTCATGGACCGCGATATCGTGACCTGAGTCGAAGTCGGATGCTTAACCGACTGAGGCACCCAGGCACCCCAGTCTGTGCTATTCTTAAGCACTACCTTACCCTGTTTCCTCTGATGATGTTCCTGGAAGGTATATTTTCATCTCAAAGAGGTCCTCCTGAATGCTGCTTCAGCTGAAGGAATTACTTTCTAACGGTACAGTTGTACACAGTGGAATGGTTTGGAGGCGACTCTGGCTTCATTGGAGCTTTTATTTATTTATTTTTTTTAATTTTTTTTTTCAACGTTTATTTATTTTTGGGACAGAGAGAGACAGAGCATGAACGGGGGAGGGGCAGAGAGAGAGGGAGACACAGAATCGGAAACAGGCTCCAGGCTCTGAGCCATCAGCCCAGAGCCCGACGCGGGGCTCGAACTCACGGATCACGAGATCGTGACCTGGCTGAAGTCGGACGCTTTACCGAATGCGCCACCCAGGCGCCCCGATTGGAGCTTTTAAATGACTCTTCCTGCACTGGAGCACGGTGTGCATTCATTCTCTCATTCAGCAAATATCTATTAAGTTCCTGCCGCACACCAGGCACTGTGCCAGGCAGGAAGGGTCAGGCAACAGTAGGGCTGGGAGTGAGAAAGAGAAGCCAGGAAAACATCATCATCATCCTAATGTATTTCCCATCAGACCTTCAGATTAACCCTGGGAGCGAGCTCCTATCACACCCATTTTGTAGGTAAGGAAACTGAGGAATGGAGAAGGTAGATGTTAAGGCAACCTCATACTGGCAAGAATTGAACCTAGACAATGTGCCGCTGAAGCTCCAGCTTTTAACCGGTCTTTCATCTCTCCAAGTTGAGTAATCAGGTTCTGAGAAATGTTGACTGGAGTGCTTTCTTTTCATGTAGCTTTTCAGAATCTTTCTGGTGCACATCCAAGTGGGTCTGTGTATGTGATTTTGTGATGATCATGCAGTTCTGGTCACATTTGTCTACAGAGAGAAAAGCTTTGCTATCATTCCCCGTTCTTATTAACTGTGCTAAAAATGCTAGTAGGTCTTCTGTCCTGGGGCTGCCAGGGAGTAGTAGGACTTCAAAATAAACAGTAACAGGGATGGAAAATGTCGAGTTCCTTGCTTGTAGTTTTTGGCTTATTTATTTTCATTTTATGGGAACAGGCCTGTCAACTCTAAATGCATCTGGCTCTAGCAGAGGAAAAGAAAGGAAAAGCAGGAAGTCCATTTTTGGCAACAATCCGGGCAGAATGAGCCCTGGGGAGACAGCATCGTTTAACAAAGCATCTGGAAAAAGTAAAGTCACCTTCTTGTAATACTTTGGCCTGATTCTGCATGCCGGATGATTCTGATATTTGACCGTCTAAGCACTTCCCTTGAACTTTTCATTTTTTTTTTCATGAATGTTTATGTGAAGTGTTAGGTTAAATGTGGTACCAATATATTTAAATTATGAATTTACACTCTTAACTTCCTAAAAAATAACGTTTCACTAAAGACGTTCTAACAGTGTTTGCCTCAAAAGTAAAAATTGGAGCCACCTTGGAACATTCTAGTTGTTCTTGGAACTGTGCTCTTCATCCTTATAACTCCAGAAGATATATCCATTTTATTTCTAATTACTTTTTACTATGAAAGTAATAAATTCTCATAGTTAAAAACTCAAACAGTTCGGAGTATTATTAAAATTCCTTTCCACTCTCAGTGTCCCAGTTCTCCTCCCCAGAGGTAATCACTGTTAAGTTTATTGTGTTTTGTTTAAGAAAAATAAGATTCTTTTTAAGATAATCCAAACGGATATAACTGAACATAGTTGGATAACTATTTTTTTCTCTAGGTAAAATTTGTATATAACGTTATATTAGTTTCAGGTGTACAACATAGTAATTTGATCTTTAATATACACGACAAAGTGATCCTAACAATAAATCTAGTTATCATCCATCACTGTACGCTTAACCCCCTTCACCCATTTCACCGCCCCCCCAACCCCCTTCCCCTCTGATAACTACCAATCAGTTCTCTGTATCTGGGAGCTTTGCTTTGTTTTATGTGTTTGTTTTGTTTTGTTATATCCCACGTGTAAGTGAAATCATGTGGTATTTGTCTTTCTCTCTCTTATTTCAGTAAGTATTATCATACCTTCAAAATCCATCCATGTTGTTACAAATGGCAGGATTTCCTTAATTTTTATGGCTGAATAGTATTCCATGATATATATATATATACACACACATATATATGCACACAACATATATGTATATATACGTATATATGTATATATATGCGTGTATATATACACATATGTATATGTGTATATATACATACACACATGCATGTATATGTATATATACACGTGTGTATATGTATATATACACATATGTGTACATGTGTACATATGTGTGTATACATATGTGTATATGTGTATATACACATATACGTGCATGTGTATATATACATATACATACATATGTGTGTATATATACACATATGTGTATATATGTATATATATATAATGTTTTCCTTATCCATTCATCCTTCATCCTTCAATGGACTGGACATTTAGGTTGTTTCTGTATCTTGGCTATTGTAAATAATGGTGCAGTGAACACTGGGGTACATATATCCTTTTGAATTAATGTTTTTATTTTCTTCAGATAAATACCCAGAAACAGTATAGCTGGATCATATGGTATTTCTATCTTTAATTTTTTGAGGAAGTTCCATACTGTTTTCCACAGTGGCTGCACCAGCTTTCTCCCACTAACAATGCACGAGTGTTCCCTTTCTCCACTGTTTACTCTCCCACTGCTGTTATTTCTTGTCTTTTTGATACTAGCCTTTCTGACAGGCGTGAAGTGGTATCTCGCTGTGGTTTGGGTTGCATTTCCATGGTGATTACTGACATCGTTCATCTCATGTGCTTGTTGGCCATCTATAGATCTTCTTTGGAAAAATGTCTGCTTCAATCTTCTGCCCATTTGTTAATGAAATTGGTTGTTTAGCTTTTGAGTTATTTGAGTTCTATATACACTTTAGATATAACACATTTAGATATTTGGATAAAAGATTTGCAAATATTTCCTCCTATTCAGTAGGTTGCCTTTTCTTTTTATTGATGGCTTCCTTTGCTATGCAGAAGCACTTCAGTTTGATGTAGTCCCACTTGTTTACGTCTCCTTTTGTTGCCTTTAATGTTGGAGTCAGACCCAGGAATTCAAGGCCACGCAGGACTAACGTCAGGAAGCTCACTGCCTTAGTTTTCTTTTAAGAGTTGTGTATTTTCAGGTCTTACATTCAAGTCTTTAATCTATCTCAAGTTAATTCTTTGTGTATGGTGTAAGACAGTGGTCTAGTTTCATTCTTTTGCATGTGGCCATCCAGTTTTCCCAACACCATTTATTGAAGAGATGATCCTTTCCCTATTGTGTATTCTTGGCTCCTTTGTCATAAATTAAAGGGCCATATATATGTGGGCTTATTTCTGGGCTCTCTATTCTGTTCCATTGATCTATGTGTCTATTTTTATGCCAGTACCATATTGTTTTGATTACTATACTTTGTAGTAGAGTTTAAAATCAGGGAGACTTGTATAACCTCTATACTTGCTGTAACTTTCCTCATGGCTTTCTATACATTTGTCTGCCTTATTGTCCTTAGTGCCTCTGTGGTATTATTCCATTGTGTGGATATATTGTCATTTATTTAATCACTACCTCACTGGTAGAACATTTAGGTTGCTTCCTGGATTGTGGTGGTGGTGGTGATGGTGGTGGTTTTGGACTTTTGGGGTTTTGTTTTGTTATTTAAAAACAAAACAAAACAAAACAACGCTAGAGTGAACACCCTTGGGCATACATTGTGCCTTTGTGCAAGTGTATCCACAGAATACATGAGGTACATAGGCAAGGACTTTCAGGCTTTTGATTTAAATTGGTGTGGCCACAGTCATCTTAAAACTCAATAGCTCTCATTTTGTTTCAAGGTTGTAGACTAACTCACGAGGAAAAGGCAAGATGTACTCCGATGTATTATGTGTTATGATTGCCTGCGGGGATGTTGTTCAGGTTTTATCTTTCTAAAATATTTAAAGTTTTCTGCACTAATCTGAGGCTAATCTTTTGGGGGGTTTAGGTTCCTGTGAAGGAATGCGACAGGCCTGGGAGGAATCTTCTTCCCCCCTCAACCCAACCACATCCCTCAGCGCTATCATTAGAACTCCCAAATGTTACCATATCTCCTCGCTGAATGAAAATGCCGCCAAACGTCTGTGTCGCAGGTATTCTCAGAAACTGATCCAGCACACCGCCTGTCAGCTGCTGAGGACTTACCCGGCTGCCACTCGCATCGACTCCTCCAACCCCAATCCCCTCATGTTCTGGCTCCATGGGATACAGCTCGTGGCGCTCAACTACCAGACAGATGGTAATGGGCCCGCTTCACCCGGAAGGGTGCCTCCCCACCTCTCTCCTCTGCCTCTTATATTTCAGTAAATATAGTTCAGCAAACAAGATTGTTTGAAGGGGCAGGACTCCAGACTGGGGCACACCGGATGTGAGGGTTAAAGTACAGATGACCAAAAACAGAAGTGAATTTGATATGGAATTGTGCCCTTGATGTTTCGATTAAGACGATACATAAAAGGGGCTCCCAGGTGGCTGAGTCGGTTAAGTGTCTGACCCTTGATTTCAGCTCTGGTCATGATCTCACAGTTTGTGAGTTCAAGTCCTGAGTCAGGCCCTGCACTGACAGCGTGGAGCCTGCTTGGGATTCTCTCTCCCCTTCCTCTCTGCCCCTCTCCCATTCATTCTCTCTCTCTCTCTCTCAAAAAAAAGACAATAAAGACCATGAGGGGACCCCCTAAAGGTCTTCTGTCCTTGCCTCCTTCTTGTTTTCAATTTTTTTAAGTTTATTTATTTTGAGAGAGGCAGAGACAGCATGAGTCGGGGAGGGGCAGAGAGAGAGGAAGAGAGAGAATCCCAAGGAGGCTCCACACTGTCATTGCAGAGCCTGACATGGGGCTCGAACTCATGAAACCCTGAGATCATGACCTGAGCCAAAACCCAGAGCTGGACTTTTAACTGTCTGAGCCCCCCAGGTGCCCCCCCTGCTGCCTTTTTAAAGTACTTTTTAAACTTATGGCTCCTTTTGACAGCACTCTGTCCAGTTTGCTTTTAAAGGTGTTTGGGGGCAGAGATTTCCTAACATGCCTTAGTAAGTTCTCTTGCTAAGCTCTTGTTCTTGCAGTCAAAAAGTAGTGTTGCTCCAAACACTTTGCAAGTTAGAAGCATTTTAGCTTCTTCTCTTCCCTTTGAGACTGAAATAAATAATGTTCAGTGCCCTAGGCGTGGCTACCACGGGGAAAACAAGTACGTGAACCACCTGAACAGAGATCGTAGTGTGTGTGTTTCTCCACTGTGGATGGGACTCCTAACAGAGTAACTGAGGAAGTAAACTCCAGGTAGCAGCTGCCGTTTATGGCATGCTCACTGTGTACCAGGCACCGCGCTGCATTCTTGACCCCTATTCTCTCATTTAATCCCTGCCACAACCCTAAAGGGGGGGGGGGGTCCTTTTACGATGTCCATTTCTCAGATGAGCAAACCAAGGCACAGAGCAGTTACTTTGCTCAAGGTTACAGAATGACTAATAATAATAGATACAAGGACTCTGGGAGTTCAGAGGGTAAATTGTTTTGTCTCCACTTGGTTATGGGGGAAAGAAGGGAGCTGCAGAAGACAAAGAAAAAATAGAGGAAGAATGTTTCCTAGAAGCTCACTGGAAAACCAGTCTCTCCTTCGAATAGTCAAGCAACATTCTCGTTCCCCTCACGAGCACTGAATCAGATCCCAGCTTGCTGTGCTGACCCATCAACCAAAGCATAGCCCTGTCTTCAGCCAAGGTTAAACCCCAGCCTTCGCCCTGGGACCACCTAGCAACCTTGCACAGGTGCCAACAGTGTCTACTTGTGGCTGACCCCGCAGATGTATGGTCAGAGACATCAGTCATATTTTTGTGCCCTTTAATATTTGTTTCTTTCAATTGATATTAAGTAAGTCGGCATTAAGTGAAGTACCATACCAAACACAGTGCTTGGCACGTAGAAAACATTCCACGAACATTAACCATCATAAGTGTTTTTTGATAAGTTATGAAAACAGTATGATTTGGACTCACAAGTGGAAATAATAATGAAATATCTTCAGAGTTGTAAAAATTTCTCTTCGATCTGTCCCAAGTGGCTTGTGGGTTCACATCTCTGGCCCTGTCCTTAGCCCTGTGTCCACTGGTCCCCTCGGTTGTTATAACACTGAAATATTTAAGTCAACTGAAATAACTAGCAAAGTGGTTTTCTCAAGGAAATGAAAACGCATTTGGTTTGGGATGTGTCCTTCTTCCTGAAGCGCCAAGGCTGCCACAGACATCCTGGCTCCACTGATGGCAAAGGGAGCCGTGGCTGAGGGGGACCCGGGAATTGCCCCTCCTTGACCCACCTCGTGCTCTGAAACACACACTGAGGCTGCTGGTGGGCCTCCACTCACCCCTGCAGGCTTTTCCTCTCTCCCACATCAATGCCATCACCCTCATTGACTGAGAGGGATGATGGGGGTACACAGATTCAGGCACACTGTTTCACTTAATGGATACAGGAGTTTTTAAAATTACAGCTCTAGATGAAGTTCTGAGACCAGCCCTAGGGGGCAGTGGGAGAACTAGATTGGAGGCCCCGCCTTTATCCTAACAAAGCAGCTCCACTCGGATCTGTTTTACATATGGGATCGCCAAGTGAGATTTTAGTTAAGAAAAAGTGCTTTAAAGTTTGGGAAAGCAGGCTGCCTGGCTGGCTCAGTCGGTGTGTGACTTGATCTTGGGGTTGTGTGAGCCCCACGTTGGGTGTGGAGCCTACTTAAAACAAAAAGGAGAATACAAGTTTTGAAAAGCTGCAAGGATGGACACATTGCTAATGGAATCAGACTTCAAACCCAAATGGGTGTCGACATCATGATATAATTTAATATTTTAATTTATTGAGCACCTTCTATGTGCCAGATGCTGGGGTAGGGACCTTTACACATTATCTCATTAAAAAAATTTTTTGTTTAATGTTTTATTTATTTTTGAGAGAGAGGGAGAGTACGAGTGGGGGAGGGGCAGATAGAAAGGGAGACACAGAATCCCAAACAGGCTCCAGGCTCTGAGCTATCAGCACAGAGCCCAACGCGGGGCTCAAACTCATGAACCACTAGATCATGACCGGAGCCGAAGTTGGACACTTAACCATCTGAGCCACCCAGGTGCCCCTTGTCTCATTTATCTTTATGACACCCCCATGAGGTATACGTTATATGGCTCCAGCAGTTAAGACTGGGTAGTTAAGATAATATACATTATGCGGTTTGGTAGTTAAGATGGGTCAGGCTGAGTTTGAACACTAGCATTCACCACTTTCTAGCCATGTGCCTTGGGTTTTGTCGTATCTTATGCCTCAGTTTCCTCATCTCTAAAAATGAAAATACTAAAATAAGGCAATAAGCCACCTCATGGGTTATGGAGGCACTGGTGCACCCAAAGTGCTTAGAACAGGTGCTAGTGCATGGGAAGGGTGCAGTGTGAGCTGCTCTAATTTTGTTAGTCATATTTATCCATTTCACATTTACCAACTGCGTGGGCTAGTTTGCTTCCCTCTGTAGCCTCAGTGAATTAATCACATGGGGACTGGATGGGCCTGAGAGGAGGGGTCCAGTGTGCTAATTTTGTAGATAAGCAGGCTGAGGCCCCAGGAGCTCTCATGTGTCTAAGACATCTTCCCCCCAGAATTCCTGTGCATGACCCTGGCCAGCTCCCCCCCACACCAGTAAAGGCCAACTTCTTATCACTCCACGGTGCTTACCACACTTTTCCTTGATGTTGGTCCATGTAGCAAAGTTCACTCTGCACATGGGAGGAATCTAGCAGAGGGAACATTTGTCAGGTGTGTCTCATAAACTTTTTGCTCATTTGGGCAACTTTTATGCAGACTTGTGCCATCAGATGAGCATTTGAGTGTGCAGGGATCCGATCGTTCACCAAAGACCTGTACCAAATAAATTTTGGCCACAAAAGACTGTTGTAAAAGTTCCCAGCATTTGTGATTGAGGAGACTGTGGATATGATGTGAATCACATGTGATAATGGTTTGTTTCCTATTGAACCACCATTTTTAAAAAAGAGGTAGAGGGGCACCTGGGTGGCTCAGTCAGGTAAGCATCTGACTTCAGCTCAGGTCATGATCTCATGGTTCATAGTTCGAACCCTACATTGGGCTCTGTGCTGACAGTTCAGAGCCTGGAGCCTGCTTGGGATTCCGTGTCTCTCTCTCTGCCCCTCCCCAACTCATGCTCTGTTTCTCTGTCTCTCAAAAATAAATATAAAAAATTGTTTTAAAAAAAAGAGGTAGAAGCATAGCAATTTATGGGTTGAAATAGAAATTCAAAGACAAGGTATGTTTTTCTGGCTATTCTCCTAGCCTTTCTTGTATTATTAAGATTTTATCTTATATTTGAAAAAGCAAGAATTGTTCACACAATTGTCTGCATGGCTTAGCATTGGGGATAAGACAATCCTTTTTTTTTTTTTCTAAAGTTCAGTATAAAATGAGGTGTTCAAAGATTTTTCTGGATGGATGTTGTGAATTTTTATTTATAAGAGTTTTTAGGTGGCAGAACACGGGATGGAGCATGAGCTCCATGAAAACAGATTTCAAGTCTTGTTAGCAGCTATATCCTGGGTGCATAACACTACCTGGCACAGAGTAGGTACTCAGTCAGTCTATGCAATGAATGGATGACTATCTCTTCTTCATACTTCAGCTTAGGGGAAATTGATGCAGATTTCTTTTGAACTTTAAAGTAAATGTATAGGATGACACATGAGCCAAACAATATTGACTTTATTTTGCAGATCTCCCTTTACATTTAAATGCTGCCATGTTTGAAGCCAACGGTGGGTGTGGTTATGTTTTGAAACCCCCAGTTCTGTGGGACAAGAACTGTCCCATGTATCAGAAGTTCTCTCCCTTAGAAAGAGATCTGGACAACATGGAGCCTGCCATCTACTCCTTAACTGTAAGTATGGCGCCAGTTGTCAGAATCTAGTAAGGTCTGTAAGCCTTCATGAATATGAACTGGTTTTGAATTCAAGGCATTACAAAGGTCTCGTATCACCATTTTGTTCATGCAGATTTAGTTCCCCAAGCATTTTTTCATCCTCTCAGGAAGCAGTGGCTATGGTTTATATATGCTGTCACCAGGCCCTCTATTTGCCAGAGTCAGTAGGTGGAGTTATGAGGTCCCTGCTTCACCTGCAAACTGATGATAGAAATTCTGTCCTCCAGGCCCCGGGAATCATAACTGTGCATGGATCCCATAAAAGTTGAGCTCCTGGTTAGAGCAGGTCATCTTACACTCTGACAAGTTCTCATAAGATCAGACGGGCATCAATATATGAAGCAACTACATATCTTTCCTCCTTACAGCTTAACCTTTATCACTCCTTTAGTCCTTTAACTACCTAATTGTCAGAACTCCACAGGCTGCCCCTAACAACTCAGCCCCAGTAGCTCATCACCCAACCTTATTCCCTGTTCTTTCACTCCCACTCAGCTGATAGAGAGACCACCACTGGATGGTGATAGGAAAGACAGAAAGGGAGAAAGTTACCTCTCCTCTCCATTATCATTTTTGGTCTGACTTGCTGCAAACAAAGAATGCCAAACAGCCTCTGCTCATGACACCTCAGAGCCCTGGGAGAGCCAACTCACAGACCTCCACCTCCCACACGGTTTTTCTCTCTCCTGAAGACTAGGGCAGCGGCCCCTTTCTGTTTGACCATTTCAGCTGGACTCGAGTATAATTCCGTCTACTTACGGAAGGCTATGGATTAATTTTTAACAACATTCCCTGTGACTTGGTCCAAAACGAACTGTTGAAGAAAAAGATTTGAGGTATATCAAATATATACACCTAAAACGTTTTGAACAGAATGTTAGTAACCATTTCTCAGATTGTGTACGGTCTCCTTTCCTCCTGCCTCCTTGAGAAACTTAATCATCTTAATGGCTTGGTTTTTGAAGATCTTTGAACATTTTTACAGTTGAAAGGTTATCTTCAGGTGAATGCTGTTGACAAAATAGGCTTTCACATGACTCCAGTCATGTGATTACCTGATTACAATCACTTGTTTTTTCTTTTTAGCAACTTTGTTAACCATGTACCCCTTCCATTCCAGAATGTTCTTTGTCTTTCTTGGTGGAGGGAAGCAGTAAGGTACAGAGGTTGCTTTGTTTCTTTCGTGTCTTCAGTGACTTTGATCCTTTTTTCCTTGCCTCAGATTGTCTCTGGTCAAAACGTGTGCCCGAGTAGCAGCACAGGAAGCCCGTGTATCGAAGTCGATGTGCTGGGCATGCCCCTGGACAGCTGCCATTTCCGCACGAAGCCCATCCACCGGAACACTCTGAACCCCATGTGGAATGAACAGTTTCTCTTCCGGGTTCACTTTGAAGATCTCGTATTTCTTCGTTTTGCCGTTGTGGAAAACAACAGCTCAGCTGTAACTGCTCAGAGAATCATCCCACTCAAGGCTTTAAAACGAGGTAGAACGAAATTCTCAAAATGCTAATAATTATAATAGCTAAGTGATGGATGCCCTGGGGTTCATGATGATCTTCTCTCTCCTTGTGTGTATGTTTGGAATTTCCGTAGTACAAAGTTAAAATAAGAGGCATAAAGGGGGCGCCTGGGTGGCTCAGTCAGTTAAGCGTCCGGCTCTGGCTCAGGTCATGATCTCACAATACATGAGTTCAAGCCCCGCATTGGGCTCTGTGCTGACAGCTCAGAACCTGGAGCCTGCTTCAGATTCTGTCTCCATCTCTCTCTACCCCTCCCCCACATTGCACTCTGTTCTCTCTCTCTCTCAAAAATAAATAAACATTAAAAATAATAATAAGAGGCATGAAGAAATGATAGATTTGAACACTGTTTGATCATATCTCAAAAGAGATTTTTACATTATCCTAAAATCAGAGGTGTTGACAACATCCCATGGAGTGTGTGCTCTCCCTCTGCTGGTGTGGGGAGGAGTGGCTGTGCTCCTATTCCTGCACACCCCTTCCTAGTAGCAGCCGCTGCACCCCTGGTGTGTTTAAAGCAAGGACTGACGTTAGGAGAGGGGCCCGGGGTTCGGAGGTGCTGCCTAGCTGGCTCAGTCAGTGACTGGCTCAGCATGTGACTCTTGATCTCAGGATCTTGAGTTCAAACCCCACATTGGGTTTAGAGCTTACTTTTAAAAAATTTAAAAGTGAAGCACCTGGGTTCTCAGTTGGTTAAGTTGGTTGATTTTGGCTCACCGTTTGTGGGTTCGAGCCTCACGTTGGTTTCCATGCTGACAGTGCAGAGCCTGCTTGGAATATTCTCTCTCTCTCTCTCTCTCTCTCAAAATAAATAAACTTAAAAAAAATTTTTTAATAAAAAAAAAAGGAAAAGAAAGAAAGGAGCCTGAGAGAAGGAGGGCTGGGATGCTCTCATGGCACGTCCAGGGTTGGAAGCTGGAGGTGGGTGTTGGGGGCAGAGCAGGGCAGATGGAGAATCCTGAGTAAAGGCCAGAGCTGTTGGCCTGATGTGGTTCAGCTTTGCCAAAGCACTTGTGGAACTTCAGCTTGTTGTCCAGTGGGCATGGCTGCACCTTGCTCCTCGAACACTGATGCGTGTCAGGGTCTCCTGGGACTCGTGGTAGTGAAATGCAGATTCTGATACGGTAGGTCTGAGGGTGCGGGGGCTTGAGAGTCTGCATTTCTAACAAGCTCCCAGGGATGCTGACCCTACTGGTCTACTTTGAGTACCAAGGTGCTAGCGCCTTCTTCCACCACCACACTCAAAGTGCCGAACTCTGACTTCCACGAACACATTACAGTCTCCTGCATTTTGTTCTCTTCCTGTTTTTCTTCTCCACTGTGCAAGTAGCACATGGCCACTGCCCTAGTCAGCTCGGGTTGCTGAAACAAAACACCACAGACTGGAGGCTTAAACGGCAGACATTTATTTTCTCACAGTTCTGGAGATGGAGGTGATGGCAGGGTTGGTTTCTCCCAAGGCCCCTCTCCTTGGCTAGCAGACAGCCACCTTCTTGCTGTGTCCTCACGTGGTTGTCCCTGAGACTGTGTGCAGGCACCTGGTGTCTCTCTCTTCTTATAAGGACACCGGTCATATTGGCTTAGGGCTCACCCTACTCACCCATTATGACTTCATTGAGGGCCCTAACCCTCTTTAAAAGACCCATCTCCAGGGATGCCTGGGTGGCTCAATCAGTTGAGTGTCCAACTCTTGATTTCACCTCAGACCATGATCCCAGGGTCGTGGGATCAAGTCCCAAATCGGACTCTGTGCTGACAGCAAGGAACCTGCTTGAGATTCTGTCTCTCTCTGCCTGCCCCTCCCCCACTCACACTGTTTCTCTCTCTCTCTCTCTCTCTCTCTCTCTCTCTCTCTCAAAATAAATAAATAAATATTTTTTTTAAAAGCCCCATCTTCAGATACAGGCACATTCCAAAGTACTGAGAGTTAGAGCTTCAACATGAGAATTTGGAGAGGACACAATTCAGTTCATAACAGTTATTACAGAATTATGAGAAAGCACAGAAAAGCAAAAACGTTTCTTTTGAATTATCCATTTTCCATCTCTCCAAAATAATCACTTTTGGTATATTTCTTTTGTAGGCTTTATTTCTCTGCCCATGTATTTACATATTATACGTAATAGACATATAACATAATATATATTTTTAATAAATAGGCTTTCTACTAATCTTAGTGTCTTGCATCTCATTGGTTTTCATTCCTAATGTATGTAGTGAGCAACTTTTTAAAAAAATTTTTTTTGATGTTTATTTATTTTGGAGGGGGGAGGGCAGAGAGAGTGGGGGGACACAGAATCCGAAGCAGGCTCCAGGCTCTGAGCTGTCAGCACAGAGCCCAACATAGGACTCAAACCCACAGACCGTGAGATCATGACCTGAGCCGAAGTCGGATGCTTAACCGATTGAGCCACTCAGGTGCCCCTGTAGTGAGCAACTTTTTCTGTTGGTAGCTATGCATCTTCATTAGCACTTTCACTGGCTGCACGTTATTCCATGTTATATTGGTACAAACAGTCACGCCATAACTTACTTTCCCAACTCCGTATTGTTAGAATACTGCATTGTCACTAAGAGGGAATATTTGTAAAACAGTGACTGTAGATGATATCAAAATGATCAGATTTTCCTACTGTATTTTGTTTGAGTTTAAGATATTCTGCTTGAGTCTAAGTTAAAAATAGCGCCTAAACAAGTTAGTTACCATAAGGTGACCCAAAACTGTCCCCAGGAGCAGCAGTCTCGATGAAAAGGTGTCTGTCTGCTGGTTGCATGCCCACTGCCACTCCCTGCCCATCGGAAGACCTGATTTCCGCCTACCCTTTATTGACCTCCCTGGGTTACCTTCTTTGCAGAGCTCTGCAGTGCATGGCTAACAAGTTTTCCCCAATTCTGCATTATTCCAGGATATCGACATCTTCAGCTGCGAAATCTCCACAACGAAGTCTTGGAAATCTCTAGTTTATTCATAAACAGTAGGAGGATGGAAGAAAATTCCTCCAGCAGCACCACGCCGGCCTCTTTGGTAACTAAGTTCTGTTTCACTCAGCATATTTGCAGGGATCGCTACACTGGGGATAGATAGGCTTTCTTGTGGCACAGGAACCTGGTCAGTTAGAGTTATTAATTAGGTAGCAATGGAAATAATGACAAGAACAGTAATGGCTGGCACTTGACACTTTCTAAGCACTTTACAACCATACTAATTCAGTTAATCCTGTCAGTAACTTTGTGAAATAGCTATGGTATCCTCTCCATTCCATACAGATGAGGAAGGTCAGAGCTAAGTATATCTAGGTCACACAGCTATAAACCCGTTACTGTAGTGCCAAAGCCCATACTCTTTTTTTTTTTTAATGTTTACTTTATTATTTTTGAGGGACAGAGTGCAAGCCAGGGAGAAGGCAGAGAGAGAGGGGGACAGAGGATCCGAAGCAGGCTCCACGCTGACAGCAGCGAGCCTGATGTGGGGCTCAAAATCACGAGCCGTGAGATCATGACCTGAGCTGAAGTCGGATGCTCAACTGACTGGCCACCCAGGTGCCCCCAAAGCCCACACTCTTTTTTTTTTTTTTTTCAACGTTTATTTATTTTTGGGACAGAGAGAGACAGAGCATGAACGGGGGAGGGGCAGAGAGAGAGGGAGACACAGAATCGGAAACAGGCTCCAGGCTCCGAGCCATCAGCCCAGAGCCCAACGCGGGGCTCGAACTCACAGACCGCGAGATCGTGACCTGGTTGAAGTCGGACGCTTAACCGACTGCGCCACCCAGGCGCCCCAAGCCCACACTCTTAATGAGTGCATTATAGGCCTGCCAGGGAGATGAACCCAAAATAATAACATGGGGAAAAGACTAATTAAGCAAAGGTTGGGGAGATGCAGAATTGGCCCTCTTGGAAATGGGAAAGGAACGCCACAGAAAGGGTCACTATTACAGAATCTGTCTCTTAACAAGTTCCCTAGGTAAGGTCCATACCATTGAAGTTTGAGGACCACTGGGCCAGTACCCACCCCAGTAATGCAAGGTTGTTTATTTAAACAAGTACCACTGCTTTAATTAACTGGTTGATTCCATTATTTGATGTTTAGAAATTAACTTAAAATGAGGGGCATCTGGGTGGCTCAGTAGGTTAAGCTTCCAACTCTTGGTTTCAGCTCAGGTCATGATCTCACAGTTCATGAGTTTGATCCTCACATCAGGCTCTGCACTGACAGCACGAAGCCTGTTTGGGATTCTCCCTCTCCCTCTCTTTATTTGCCCCTCCCCCCTCAAAATAAATAAATAAACTTTAAAAAATACTAGTAACAGGGGCGCCTGGGTGGCTCAGTCAGTTGAGCGTCCAACTTCAGCTAGGGTCATGATCTCACAGTTCATGAGTTTGGGCCCCGCATTGGGCTATGTGCTGACAGCTCAGAGCCTGGAGTCTGGTTTGGATTCTGTGTCTCCCTCTCTCTCTGCCCCTCCCCCGCTCATGCTCACTCTCTCTCTCTCAAAAAATAAACATTAAAAAAAATTGTTTAATAATAACAATAGAAGGGTGTCCATTGATTACCTCTTTACATGTTTAATATAACCTGTTCACTGTTATGTCAATCTTATACTTCAACATAGTGCTAACAATCTGTGGAAAGGCACCCCGTATGCTCACAAATGGCGCTGGCTCGACCACTGCCATGGCCACCCATAATTCACCCAACTTTCTTCTCTGCTGTTCTTCCCCTCACCTCATCGGTGTCATCTCTCTCTCCATCCTGACCTCATTTTCTCAGGTTCTCCTCCTTTTCCCTTCAGTGTGTGGCCAAAGTTGAGAACAACACTTGGCCAAGGTAGAGAAAGGTGTTGCCTCTACTTGTGCAGAGGACTGGGAAGCAGAGACAGGGCTGCCTAGGTATGGAAGGGCAAGAACCAGCTTTCACAAAGGGGAAGCAGAGCCTAGTGCCTGATCCTGGCTCAGTTTGCCTCGATACTTATTAGCACTGAAGATTCCACACATGCCATCGATGAACCATTTTTCCTCACAACACTTCTGACACCAAATGCATTGTGTATTTTCTTACACTGCTTCAACTCTGACAGCAGCTGGGTGTCCTGCCTTTCAATTTAATTCTGACAGGGTCTACCTGGAGTTAGCATCAGGTCCCAGAGTTAAGGGCTCAGTCCTATGGGACTGTCCCCACTTCAGGTGTCAGTGGCAAGTCCCAGGTTGTCACTGGTACTTCTGACTGACCAGCTATAAATTCAGGTTTCCACAAACCCCTCCTCAGGCTCAGGAATTTTGTAGAATGACTCGGAGAACTCAGAAACGTGCTCTCCTGTTACCAGTTTATTATAAGGACACAATGCAAGAGAAGTCCGATGGAAGAAAAATATAGGGCAAAGGGGGTGTGAGGCCTCCGGCATCTCAATGTGTTCACCAACACAGAAGCTCTCGGAACCCCACCTTTTAGCGGTTTTAATGGAGCTTTATTGAAAAGGCATGATTGAGTATGTCATAGCCCATTGGTGAGTGACTCAACTCTCGGTAATGTCCCCCTCCCTGGAAGCCCCAGGTGGTGCTGAAAGTTCCCACCATCTGATCCCACCTCGGTCTTTCCAGTGAGCACCTCCCATCCTGAAGCTGTCTAGGGGCCTCCAGCCATCGGCCATCTCATAACATGCAGGGAACACCCATCGCTGCAGAGGTTCCAAGGGAGATGCGTGCCAGCGACTGTGAACAAAGACCAAATATTTATTTTTTATTGTACCACACCAGGCCATCCCTGGGTCCCAGGCAGCAGCAACACCTATGTGTTCTTTGACCACTGAAGTCATCACCCTCCATTGCTCAAGCCAATAACAGAAGATCATCCTGGACTTCTCCCTCCCTCTCACTGCCCCATTTAAGACTTGATAAGTCTATCTCCTTAGTGGTTTTCAAATCCATTCATCTCTGTCCATCACTACTGCTTTGACCCTCATTCATTTGCACCCGGCTCATGGCAGTGAGTTTCTAACTGGCCTCTCCCTCTGAGCTTGAACCCCTCTGTCTGCTTAGCCACATCTAACTAAAACCTAAATCTGATCATGTCACTCCTGTGTTAGAAACCCTTCCTTGGTTCTCCACTGCTTTCAGAGTAAAATTTATACATGGACTGGGCAGAGACTCTGGGAAAACAGTGAGCTTATGAGTCATTTAAAGGGGCAGCCACCACCCTGCTGTCAGCCCCAGCTGCTGGTTGCCATGCAGTGTGGCCTGATCTTCTGGTTTCCAAGAGAGTCAGGACATCTGGACTTGCATAACTGTTGGCAGTGATTTCAGCTTCCAAAAAATACAGTGCAGGCTAAACCATATAACTGAAATGTGCATTTTATGGTATACAAATCATATCTCAATAAAATGCATTAAATAATAGAAACACAGTGTGCAAGCAAAATAAAACAGCCAACTCCTTCCCCAAATAAAAATAAAGTACAAGTTCAATGAAACACTTAGGGCCTCGGGTCACTATTCCGCTCTCAGTGTAGCTCTTCCGGCCAGTTAGGAAGAGGCCTGCATGATTGTGCACCTGCTGGCTTCTCCAGCAACCCCCTCCACACCCCAGTCATGGAACTTGTGGAGGCTCCCAGAATCCCCTGCTTCAGGCCACCTCCAAGCCTTTGCACACAGGCTGCATCAATATTTGGGGTGTTCTTGTCCCACTCTCCATCTTCTAAGTCACACTGGACCTTCAAGATTTAGTTCAGATGATACCATTTTCAGGAGGTGCTCTCTGCTTTCCTCCAAACCTGGGATCTGCCCCCTCCTCTGGGTTCCCAAGGAACTTAGCATACTGCTGACAATTGTCCATTTTCTTTTCTGATTCATTCCACTGGGTGCCCTTGAGGGCAGGGATAAGGTCCTCTTTCTAGGATAATGTCCCAGGGCCAGACATAGTGTCCGATTCACTATCAACTCTCCATAAATGAATTTTGTATTTTGAGTGAATGAATATATCTTAATATACAAAATGCTCAAAAGTTGTGAGTTACACACCTCCCCAGCTCTTCCTAAAACAGAAATACTTTTCATATTATACTTATCTGTGTGCCTGGGCAGAGAGTGCTCTAAGCCTGGAATAGTCTATCATCTTACCAACCAAAATTCTAACCCAAGGCCCTGAGAAGAGAGGGAACTCAATAGACACTGTTGAAGGTCAGTTCATAAGTAAGGACTAACATACACTTCAGATAATACCAGTCTCCTAATTATGATGGAAAGAGTCACTTTCCATTTATTTTAAATAAATAAATTTTAAATAAATAAATTAGTATTTTGGTGGTATGCTGCTAATATCCTCACTAGACTGTTAAGGAAGATGCACCATCGCCTCTTCAGTGACAAACAGAAGTATCAGGTTGTAAAAGAATGGTCTTCTTTTGCATTTACATGTCCCTCTACAGACTTCTAAGAACTAGTGCTTGTGTACTGAATATAGCCTAGAAATAACATGAGAATGAGAATGAATGAGAAACCATGTGGTCTTCCTTGACAGATGTTTAATTCAGAAGAAAGAAAATGTTTGCAGGCTCACAGAGTCACGGTGCATGGGGTCCCAGGTCCAGAGCCCTTTACTGTTTTCTCCATAAGTGGAGGCACCAAAGCAAAGCAGCTTCTCCAACAAGTAAGTCCACTGAGGCCATGGTTGGGAGAATCCATCATCTAATATGTATGGAGGGGTGTGTGTGTGTGTGTGTGTGTGTGTGTGTGTGTGTGTGTGTAAATGCAGGTGTAAGCATACACACACACACAAAAGTCCATGTTGATGATCTGCCTTTTGATTATTTGTGTAATTCAACACTGAGATCCACCATAAGAATGATCTGGGAGGTCATGGTACCATTAGATAAGCTAACCTACAGAGAGAGACAGAGCATGAGCAGGGGAGGGTCAGAGAGAGAGGAAGACACAGAATCCAAATCAGGTTCCAGGCTCTGAGCTGCCAGCACAGAGCCTGATGCGGGGCTCAAACTCATAAACCATGAGATCATGACCTGAGCCAATGTCAGTCACTTAACCGACTGAGCCACCCAGGCGCCCCTAGAAAAGAATTTTTAACAAGTCTTCAAACACATAAGAAAACACTAGGCTCAAGATGGATAAGGACCAAAATGAGTGGCTTTCCAATCGTGTATTCTTTCCCTCTAAGGCTAGACCCGGGCCCCATCTTTCTTCTTAATGTGGAGCTTACTAATCAGTCAGAATTTGCACACAAGCTGAATGAAGTTTGTCGTCCTAGGAGTTAGATCAAGTTTTTAGAGCATCAGGATGGACGGCGGCCAAGAAGACATTGCTTCAGCCCCTCTAGCCTTAGGCCTTTATCTGCATGTTGGGCAGCCCCATTGTCCCCCTTCCCCTGGCACTTGATCTTAACCCTTGAGGTCCTACCCCTCTGGTAGTGCAAAGAGGCCCGCAGGGCCTGACCCAGGAGGATGAGAGCCTGTTACCCCAAAACCTGCAGCAGCATCACTGGCCTAAGTCCCCTCATGTGGTGCCACTTCTGCTCGGGATCGCCCCCAGAGATCCCTGTGGCTTTCTGTAGGCGGGGCCCCCCCCCCCCCCCCCACCGGGAGGACGTGTGAGAGTGAGAAAGCCAGAAACCAAGCAGCATCCGGAGGGGGCAGCTCCTCAAATGGACAGACAGCCCCATGTGTAACGTCTTTTCTCTTCACACTGGAAGCCCCACCTCGGATTGACACAGTGACCTAATATCCTTGCAGCACCGACTACAGACCAAGTGCTGGGGTGAAGGGAGCTGCATCTTCCTGATAATCTTCTGTCCTCACCGTCCTCAGTTCATTCCACTTTTCCTCCAGGCCAGATGAAATAGTGCCAAGTGTGGACTCTAGGAGTTGCATCACTGGCGGGGGCAAGGAGAAGGGTGCTTGCCTAATCCAGACCAGATGGTGGCAACCTTCTCTGTCCCCACTTGGAGTGGAATGTGCGGTCAGGAACTTATAGGAGTGTGATGGTAACTGGCGTTTATTGAGTTCTCGTATGTGCCGGTGTTATGCTTTCTAACCAGTGCCTCAATCATGAAACGAAATGAGGAGGTTCTTACTCTTAACTGTTCCCATTTTATGGATGGGGAAACTGAGTCTCTAAGGGGTTAAATATCTTGTCCAACACCTCACAGCCAATAAGTATTAAAGGCAGACCTCAGACTCAGGTCTGTCTGGCTCCAGAGCCTTGTCCCAGCCACTCTGACCGCCTGGGTAAGTAACCAACAAAGAAAAACAAGCTTGTAGGCACAGTGTCAGGACTTAATTGAAAGGAGAATTCCCAGGAACTTAGATCAGATGAGATTAGAAGACAAGTATTTCTAACATGAGAAAAAGACACGGTGCTGGTAAAAGCTATGCTAGGTTCTTTGCCATTGGTCCTGTGTTACAAGATTACAGAGAGCTAAATTCATGGATTGAGAAGCGTAAAGTCTGTAATTCAGTAGAAGCTCTCATTCCAGCTGTGGGAAAAATAGTTATGCTGTCTGGGGATTATGAATAAATTGTGTCGTTGCCCAGAATGAACATAAACAATCCTTCTTGGACATAAGAGAGTTCTTAGGTCTTCCAAAAAGAATTATTCAACACTGCAGAGTAAGTTTCACTTATAAATTACACATCAGACCTATGTAAACACCGTGAGAATAGGTTTCTTTTGTGTGTGGGTGTGTGTGTGTTTTATTCAAGTATAGTTAACATACAGTGTTATATTAGTTTCAGGTTTCTATATAGGACTCAGTGCTCATCAGGATAAGTATAGTCTTTAATCCCTAGTTCCTATTTCACCCATCCCCCACCCACCCACCCACCCACCTCCCCACCCACCTCCCCTCTGCTAACCATCAGTTTGTTCTCTGTACAAAACTGGCTTATTTTGAATTAAAGTTTTGCCTTTGCTTTTTCTTTAGATTCTGACCACTGAACAAGACACCAAACCTATCATCACAGACTATTTTTTGATGGAAGAAAAATATTTTATATCTAAAGAAAAGAATGAATGCAGGAAACAACCGTTCCAGAGAGTCATTGGTCCAGAGGAAGAGATTATGCAGATTTTAAGCAGCTGGTTTCCAGAGGAAGGATATGTTGGCAGGATTGTCTTAAAAACCCAGCAGGAAGTAAGTGTGTCTCACACTGTAACAACTCAGGGTGTGATTAACCACCTCACCACTGGCCACCTCCCTCAATTCAGAATTTATCATTGCAACCTGATTTATGTTATTCTTCTTAAGTAAATGGGGAGAAATGATTTTATTCTTCTGCACTTATTCAGAATGTTATCTCTAAGTTACAGAAATTCAGTCTAAAAACCATCTCTTGTAAAAGAAAGGAAGCAAGAATTCAAAGGATTCCTCATGCTTGTCATCAACTGTGGGTCCAGGCTTTGATTTATATGCGAAAAGGCATTGTCATAAGGGTCACAGGACCATGTCATGCTAGTCCCATTGGTATTTTACATTTGGGAATTGGTTGCCTTCTTGTTCGTGCCTGTTAAAGTTTTAGCTGATAAAAAGTTCTGTGTTTTTAGGTAGAACAGTAGTTCTTTGAAAATATTCTGAAACTTCACACAAAGCAAAGTATTCTCTCAGCCTTGATCAGAGTTAGTAAGAATTTACGTTATGTTCACTAACATTCCTGTGATCATTCGCATGAAGGAAAATAATATAGCGACTTCCTGTCAGCTCTACATTGATTAGTTCCTTTTCAAGTTTGTGGATGGAGTACTGATTTTTTTTTTTTTTTTGAATAAACGGTTAAGAGCCCACTAACTTACCGCCATTTTTTTAAATGACATAAAGTCACTGCTCCACCATAGATGTTCAGGCCTCATGATATGTCAATAATGAGGGAGTGGAGTCAATTCAACAATTAGATTAAACAAATATTTATTGAGCATCTAATACATGCCAAGCCCTGTTCTGGGCACACGATCTATCTTCTCCTTTGGGACATGTAATAGAGCTTGGTTGGTAAAATGCCCATTGGTGATCCATGATGTTGGGACAGTGGAGATGATAAAGAGCCAGTTTTCAGCGTCATGTGCCACTTTTTCACTCTGCACTGAACTGTGAACATGGCCTGCATCGTACTCCACAGACCTCCAACATCTGCTCTGGGAACCACAGCCACTGCCTTTCTTCCTAACCTTGCCTTAGACCATAAAAGGACACTCCAGTTAAGCAAAGAAATGTAATCGTCTCCCCAACCTCCTCTCCCTATTAGACATATACATTGCAAAGGCAGGTAATGAGCAGTTCTGATGATAATAGCTTTATGAGAAAATATCAGAGGCCTTAGCTGGACTTTTGAAGCCTTCTTCAGTTTCTCTCTAAATTTTTCTGTATTTTTTCTTGTTGACTTGCCTCATTCTTTAGCTACATGTAAAAAACTGTCCTCTAAGTGATAAGGTCAGCAAGCGAATTTTCAAACCATATATTTGCATAATGATTTACCATGTTCAAAGTTCTCACTCACTACTTTTTTGAATGATCTCATGAGGTAATGGAAACCATTTCGCACATAGGAAATTGAGGTTCACAGAGGTTAAATCGTGACAAAGTGAGAAGTAGAAAGAACTCAGGTCTGTGGCTTCGAAGGTCAGTGTCCTTGCCCCATCCTGTGCTGCCAAGGCTGGTGATGCATCAGCCTTCCTGGACCATGGCACCCAGCACTGTGGGGGCAGTGGGAGGCAGTGAGCAAGAGGGAACATGGGCAGGCTCTTGAGTGTCTTATAGTTAGAAGGGCTGGGGAGGTTAGGAATGCCCATATGCAACTTAAGGTGTATATGAAAACAGGCTATAGAGACCTCAGGAATAAATACGTAACAAGGGCTAGTGGGCGAGAAGCATTTTGAACAATAAGGGGAATGAGTTAGAAAGGAAGGCTAACAAACATGTTCTGATGGGGAGAATACAACAAACTTCTCCTGTGGAGAAGAGATTTTTGAAATGACTGACATGTATCTCCAAAGATAACAAATCACATTTAATGTGTCTCGGGTGACCTGGTACATCGTGGCACACACATATTTACTGACTGAATAAATGAATTCAGCAATTATTGAATGCAAGCAGACACTAGTATAGTTGATAGAGCTGGGCTCTATGTATTTCCATTTATTTCATTCTGTGGAACTAGTAAGATAAATAAGCAATTTTCCCATATATTCAGAGTCCCCAAACTGTTATCCATGACCTCTGATCTCTCCTCCTTGCCTGCCTTTTATAGTTTTCTTGTCTTCTAGGTTCTCAAGCTGTCAGGATCACATCTTCCTGTGGTCAGTATGCCTTCCTATGACACCTGCTGGATTTGAAATCAGACAGACCTGGCTCTGCCACAAATTAAATGACCTTGGACAGCTCATTTAACTTCTGTAAACCTCTGTGCCCTAATTTGTAAATCTGTGATTGAAAAAGATTAACATGAGCCTCATGCCAAACATAGAGACAATATGTAGAAAAATGCTTAGTAAGCTGTAAAGAACTGTAAGTGAGGACTGTTGTTCTGGTCATAACCTGTACCTTCTAATGGGGCAGAAAACTCCCTAAAAATAAAAAAGTTCTGAGAGAGGCTCTGAGGAGGTCTCTTAAAAGTAATGTTTATTGCATAGTTATTGAGATATTTTATGTATCCATTAGAACTTTTTTGTTTTCATATTTGCTTGCTTCCTGGTTTTCAAGATACGGATTATAAATTATGTCAGATGAATTACCACCCAACCCCACTCTCAGACTGGTTAAATATATCATGGTCAACACAATGATATATATTACACAGCTAAATCTCTAATAATTGACATGAAATGAACACCACAATCTTTTAAGTGGGGAGGAAAAAACAAGTTGCAGAACATTATATGGAGTACAATCTCAGTTTATGTAATAAAAATGGACAGTAACTCTCCCCTCCCAACACCCCTAATATAACGGATGGGGTCCAAAAACATCAGTCATGAAAATTTTAGGGACCATGATTGTATGATTAATGATATGACTGGGGTGAGCCTGTGGGGCCAGAAGCTCCTGCAACCCAAGTCCTTTCTGGTCCTGGTTGCAGTTTGGCACCACCTGGTGGCAGTTATCCATTCTGCCTCAGTATCAAAGGGGACAATTCTGGATCCTATGGCTGGCTGGTTGGAACCTCCAGGATAGTTAGTGACAACGATTCTTGGATTTTTCTTGGATTAGTTAGGACCATTTCAGTCATTTCAGTGGCTTGACCTGAGATCAGGCTAGGAGAATGCTGGAATTGAAGGACTTTCCTGCTAAATGCTCTCTTCCTGAGATGAGGTTGCCTCTTCCCCTTCAGACCTCCCCCTTGCAGAAGATAACTGTAAGCTACCCTTCATTTGAGAATAGGGCTAAAAAAAAAGGGGGCGGGGGAGCCATCTGACAATCATATTATATCTAAATTCACGTAATTCCAGGGTTTCATAGTATATATGTATTCACATATACAAAAATATACGTGTACATTCATAGCAGGTGTTTAGAAGCATATATAACCTAACAACAGTGGTTTTTTTGTAGGGAATGAGATGAGACACAGAAGGGAAAAAGTTGATAATGGGGAAAGCTTGGCTTTTTATTGATCTATTTCTATACTGTTTGAAAATTTTTAATGATACATATGCCTACAGATATATCTAAATATATATTTTATATATATAGCTCCATGTGTAAAATTTGCTAAAAGCCAATTAACCTGATGACCAATTCTCATAACTACTGAGAATTTTGTCAACATTCGTTTCAGTGTGACCTACCTCCAGCCATTGGTTCCGCCTTTCCGCTGTAGTTCCTGTTCTTCCAGCCTGGCTGGATGCCAGTTTGCACATTTCATTGTTCAGATCTCCAGCATTTCTTAAATGCTCAAGGCCTGTGTAGGGCATGAACGGGCTTTCTCCTAAATGTAATTTGCTGTGTTCTTATTTGACTTTTAATATTTGGCAAAATGGTGTATTGTCCTCTTCCAAATTTGTCTACAGTTGACTGGGACTCAAACTCCACTGGCAGTAGGAGCAGATCTTTTGGCTTATTTTGAGCCAGGTCCTTATTAGTCTGTCAATATCAGCAAAAATACCCACATTACCTTCTTCCTCTCAGAAGATACGTATACCCTTTAGAATAGTCCATGAAATATTAATTAGTGTATGAAATATAAAGCTAAGATATAGTTTCCACATTGCCAAGATATAGCCCACATTTTTGCTAGGTTTTTCTTTTTTACTCTACATCATCTTACCATTTACTCACACTTTTCATCTCCTTAAACACAGAACCTAGAAGAGAAAAGCATTGTTCAAGATGACAAAGAGGTGACCTTGAGCTCAGAGGAGGAGAGTTTCTTTGTTCAAGTGCACGATGTTTCTCCAGAGCAACCTCGAACGGTCATCAAAGCACCCCGTGTCAGCACCGCACAGGACGTCATTCAGCAGGTGAAACCTCTCCCTTGCTTGCCTCAGTCAGCTCCTCAGTGTAAATCACTAGGACAAATCTGATGTCAGCTCATTTTATGAGTGAAGTTCTAGAACAATGGGGATCTGAAGAGGGAGAGTGTGCCTCTTACAGTTGGAAAATACTAGTTCATTCCTTCAGCAGACAATTCACCTAGTATCTACCATGAGTCTGGCTCTCTGTGAAGTGTTGATAATAGATTGAGGTAGGAACTCCACAGAGTAGTAATTTTATTGCCCCAGACATGCCTAAGCCAATCCTAAAGACTGTCTCTCAAAGATCCTACAGAAGACATGCTGGAGGCCTTCTCTGGCCCTTTCCCTGCTCTAAGTCATACTTCTTGGTGCACATGGTTTCAGAGAACTATACTTCCTTCCTTCAAGCTTTGTAATGGTTTGTGTTTATTAAACACCCATTTGAGAAGTGGTGTAGCATAATGGTTAACAGCACAGAAGACTCTAGATCAAATTACTCCAGGTTCAAACCCCAGCTCTACTTTTTTAAAAATTTTTTAAACTTATTAATTTTTAAAATTTACATCCAAATTAGTTAACATATAGCACAGTAATGATTTCAGGAGAATTTTGTGACTCATCACTTACATATAACACCCAGTGCTTATCCCAACAAGTGTTCTCCTTAATGCCTCTTGCCCAATTAGCCCATTCCCCCACCCACAACCCTTCCAGTAACCCTTGGTTTGTTCTCCATATTTACGAGTCTCTTACGTTTTGTCCCCCTCCTTGTTTTTATATGATTTTTGCTTCCCTTCCCTTATGTTCATCTGTTTTGTCTCTTGAAATCCTCATGAGTGAAGTCATATATTTGTCTTTCTCTAATTTCGCTGAGCATAATATCCTCTAGTTCCATCCATGTTGTTGCAAATGGCAAGATTTCATTCTTTTTGATTGCCAGGTAATATTCCAGTGTGTGTGTGTGTGTGTGTGTGTGTGTGTGTGTGTGTGTACACACACACACACACCCCACATCTTTATCCATTCATTCATCAATGGACATTTGGGCTCTTTCTATATTTTCGCTATTGTTGATAGTGGTGCTCTACACATTGGGGTGCATGTGCCCCTGTGAAACAGCACTCTGGTATCCTTTGGATAAATACCCGGTAGTGCAATTGACCCCAGCTCTGTGCCTCAGCTACAGTAGTGTGCTGGTAAACTGGCTCTCTTAAGGAAAAACAAAAAAGCTCCAACTGATTTTTTGTTTGCCAGTTTCTGTTGTGTGGATGCTCCCACCATGTCTGATTTCACTGGCCCGTTCCAGTTGGCTCCAGCACACTGTTTACCATATGCTAAGTTACTACGTAGATAACATGGAAATAGTATAATAGTACTTTCCACCCAGAGTTGTTGTGACAGTGAAGTCAGTAAGTATCGGTAATGTGTATAATGCTCAGCACATGGCAAACACTATAGTGTTATTTGCTATTGTTGCATGATTATGTGGTTAATATTTGCCTCCTTAATAGAGTTTGAACTCCAAGAAAGCCCAGACATATGGGGGTTTTTTTGTTCATCTTTATCTCTCCAAAGAATAGTACTGTATCTGGGACACAGGAAGCCCTCACTAAACATTTGATGACTAAATAAACATGTAAGCGAAAGATGATCTCGTACTAAATGAGAAGTGAGGCCAGGTAAATAACTAAAATGCCTTCAACATCCAAGACACTGAGATGAAGAAGCAGCCTGGTGGGACAGAAAGGCTCCTGAAGGTCAAGATTCTGTCTCTCATTGTCTGTGTGACCTTCATGTCTATGAGCTTTGGTGCATGTAGAAAATCCAGTGGAAGTCCTTATTCTAGCACTTATTAGTTGTGCATCCTTTGGAATCTGCTTAACCTTCATACATTTAAGCTTCCTTGTCTGAAAATGGGGTAATACCTAAACCATTACCCCATTTGTTGTGAAGCTGTTGTGAAGCTTTATCAGGTAATGCAAGAAAGCACGTTACAAGCTATAAGTACACAGATGTAAAATGACAAATGATATGAGGCCATCTGAAAGATCCCTTCCTTCTCTAAACGTCTGTGACATTTTCCCCACCTTCAAGTCTCATTCAGAATGAATGCAAGTGTTGGAGACACTGTGTATTCAGTTGACTGTAATTTTTTTTTTAATGTTTATTTATTTTTGAGAGAGAGAGACAGAGTGTGAGCAGGGGAAGGGCAGAGGGAAAGGGACACACAGAACCCGAAGCAGGCTCCAGGCTCTCAGCTGTCAGCACAGAGCCCGACACGGGGCTCGAACTCACGGACCGTGAGATCATGACCTGAGCTGAAGTCAGACGCTTAACCAGCTGAGCCACCCAGGAGCCCCTCAGTTGACTGTAATTTATCTTTCAGACCTTGTGCAAAGCAAAGTATTCCTACAGCATCCTGAGCAATCCCAACCCAAGTGACTATGTGCTTTTGGAAGAGGTGGTAAAAGACACGACCAAGAAGTCTTCCACCCCAAAGTCCTCCCAGCGGGTCCTTTTGGATCAGGAGTGTGTGTTTCAAGCCCAAAGCAAGTGGAAAGGGGCAGGAAAATTCATCCTTAAGCTAAAGGAGCAGGTGCAGGTAAAGTTCAAAGTTCTTTTGCTCTCTTCACAAAGTATTTGCTATTCACAGCTCCACGGTAATCAAATTTGGGAGCTCGTGAAATCTTGAAGAAAGTTCCTGAGCCAAGGGATATAGTTGGGAGAAAATCATTTGGCTTCATTTTCACTATGTGAAAAGAAAGGTAGTGCCTGCCACCCCTCCACGGGTAAGCAGTCCTGAAAGGGGTGTCCCTCAGCACTTCTTCCCAAAGCTCTACTTACTGGAGAGGAAGAGGAAAGGGTTCTATGATAGCATGTCATGTGACTGAGGATCCCGGCTTTAACATACCAATGGAAGGTTCTTTTTTTCCCCACAGGCATCCCGAGAAGACAAAAGGAAAGGCATTTCTTTTGCAAGTGAATTTAAGAAGTTCACCAAGTCAACTAAACAACCCCGAGGACTCGCATCACCTTCTCAGGTCTTGGCCTCAGAAGGTGTCCAAAACAAGGAGGAGAAACCTGTGGGCAGCTTGTCCTCCAGTGACACCATGGACTATCGACAATAACCAAGGTTGGCACGTTTTACCCGGGACATCACACTATTCTGAAACGGGGACCAACTACTGTGTAAGGCCCAGTAGGAGGATGTCCCCTGAAGGCAGATAGGAATGGTACCTAAAAACAGGAAAAGACCTCTGCAGATTTATATATAACATTTATAACTTTAGACTGCTGGGTTTGTAGATGGCCAGACAAAGGCCCCGAGAGGACAACCCACTTGCCTGACCTACTACATCAGCCTTATTTCATCAGACATAGAACTGCCTTAATTATTGCTCACGGTCCTGGACATTCTCAAAGGACTTCTGTGGGTCATTCAGCTCTTATTCCTTTGGATTTCTAGTTTCAGGTCCGTTTTAAGGTTTGATTTAGCCTCAACAACCTCACCTTGGTCTGCCTCAATTAAAACATTAAAAACCTGGCATCCAGGATGCGATGGTTAAAAGGAAAGCAAAATAACATAACAGCCGCTGTCTTGAAACTGCAGTAAATTAAGCCTTTGGTTGCCCGCCCACTGCTTGGCATTTACAGAGTAAACTTAGTTCTATCTTTTTTTTTTTTTAATTTTTTTTTTTAACATTTATTTATTTTTGAGACAGAGAGAGACAGAGCATGAACAGGGGAGGGGCAGAGAGAGAGGGAGGCACAGAATCCGAAACAGGCTCCAGGCTCTGTGCTGTAGCACAGAGCCTGACGCGGGGCTCGAACTCACGGACCTTGAGATCATGACCTGAGCCGAAGTCGGACGCTTAACCGACCAAGCCACCCAGGCGCCCCTAAACTTAGTTCTATCTTAAAACAAATTACCGTATACGGAACCCAAATTAAAAAAAAAAAAAAAAAGAACTTGAGGAAACCAGATTTTTTTTTTCATTTAGTTTGTTAATGAACCCAGGGATTAAAGCCCAGTTTTTACCTGTGTCACTGTAGTTGTAAAATTAATGAGACCGACGGCATAGTGAAGGCATTGCTGCTTATACTGTAGAAGTTGATCGTCTGTCTTTATCACAATTAGGAATTTCTTATATTAAATTGGAGCTCACAATTAAAGACTTTATTGATACCTTTTGACAGGACCTAATTTGATTTATAATAGCACAAAAGAAGGCTCAATACACTGAGTCTGTATTTCTACATTTAAGAAGCTCTTAAAATAATCAGTGCCCCACACAACGCGTGCAAAGCTCTTCCAAAACAGCCAGGGCCAAACACAGGGAACACCCTCCTTCAGAATATCTGCATATCCAGCTATTCTGAGGTTTGTTTAGGTTCTGTATGGAAAGGATCATCAGAAGGAACTTTCAGAACTACAGCAGCAAATCCCCATCAAACAGCATCGGACAATAGTGAATACACACAGAACGGCAAAGCCCTGACCTATGCCAGACTGAGAATGTTCAACACTCATTTTCTGTTGAGATACATCTGGAATCCTAATTTTTAAAAGTTCCAGGGGTGGGGTGCCTGGGCAACTCAGTTGATTAAGCGGCTGACTCTTGATTTCAGCTCAGGTCATGATCTCATGGTTCATGAAATCAAGCCCCAGGTCAGGCTCTGCATTGACAACACAGAGCCTGCTTGGGATTCTCTCTCTCCCTCTCTCTGCACCTCCCCTGCTCATGCACTCATAAAAAAAATTTTTTTTAAAGTTCCAGGGGCCTCTGGCTGGCACAGTTGGTGAAGCGCCCGACTCTTGATCTTGGGGCCGTGAGTTTGAGCCCCACGTTAGGCACAGAGATTACAATTAATCGATCAACACATACATACATATATTAAAAGTTCCAGACTCACTTTCTTTTTTGCCCCAGGACACTAAGACAACAGTGCCTTCTCCAAAAGCCAAGTGAGCTTTAGGACTAAGCATCAATGTTGAGCCTCCATAGCTGTTTAGAAGATGGCTTACCTTGGTAGTGGGTCTGTGAGCGTGACACTAAGGACAGTAATTAAAACCTAAAATATTGTTTTCCATGTCAAGAACTTAGCATCAAATCATAGATGTGATGTTATACACACCCCTTATATTATAACCTCCACGGTGACAGTGGAATTATGCTCTGCACAATGGAGCCCTCACTGTGCCACAAGATTACAAGAAGTACATCGGAATATAGCTCCACTGGAAATCTGACTTAAAAAGAATAAGCTTGCTATAATGAGCATTATTAGGAGTAGGGGTGGGGGGTGATTTAGAGGTATGCCTTTGGACTATATTTTTCTGTAGCAAGCAAAATCATTGAGTTGACCTCAGCTTTACCTAAACTTGGGGAAGCTTCTCTTTAAAAACATCCATGGGTACATCTATGGGAATATGTATCTCATGTTATAAACTCCTTTACAAATGGTCTCATGAGAAGAGACTTTTTGTGCTCGCAAGAAGACAAGTGTAGTGTTTTTGCTGCTTTCTCAGAACATAAGGTTTCATGTTACTTGTCCTAAAATTTTCACCCCTGAAGTTTTAAGAGTTACCCCTTAATAATTTCCACAAGTATATACCTTACTCATATCTGAAATAATGCAGTTGAAGGACTTCCCCCTTTTAAAAAAGTTGAAATTTATTTGATTGTGATTACAAAAATCTTTCTAAAGAATGTGGTGTTCAGAACAGAAATAGGCTCATGTTCCACCACCCAGGAGCATCATGTTATGACACTGTGAGTTTATAGCAAATAGTCTCTCCTCCAAAACCAGCCACCAAAGCTGTGGGTTTCTGTCAGTTGAATAACACTAAACCCTTGCTACACTGCAAATGTTTGTTCCTGCATTTTAAATATACTAACAAAGCTATGTATACAACTTTACAGGTGAAGACCTTTTGGTAAGAACTTAAAGTCAAGAGTGAACATGGTGGAAACAAATACAATTTGCTTATTTTCATTAGACTTAAACTGGAAATTGAGGATTTCTGAACCGAAGCCTTCTTGACACATGATGTGAGGTCCATGCTGAGGACAAGCAAAATGGCAAGGGCTACCTACCAACCAATTCCTGATGAATGCAACAATGCAGCCCAGGAGATTGCCACTTTGCAAATGTCAGCAGTTGGGAAAAAAACATTGCTAAGCTTGCAATAACTGACTTAGAACAAGGGTCAGCAAACTTTGTCCATAAAGGGCCAGGTGGTAAACATTTTAGGCTTTATGGGCCATATGGTCTCTGTAGCAATTACTCAGCTCAGCTGTTACAGTGCAAAAGCAGCCATAGATGATCTATACGTGAATGAGCATGGCTGTATTCCAATGAAACTATTTACAGACACTGAAATCACAATTTCACATAATTTTCACATCACAAATAATCCTCTTTGGGGTTTTTTCCAATCAGTTAAAAATGTAAAAGCTATTCTTAGTTCAAGAGCCATACAAACACTGGCGGCAGGCTAGATCTGGCCCAGGGCCATAGTTTGCTGACCTGACTTAGAAAACTGGCAACAAGAGCCACAGAGGTCTGAAAACAAGCGAGGTTAGTCATACAGTTCATGGCGGACAATTGGAAGCTTTAGGGCATTGCGAGTGTAAATATGTCCTGTGAGATTCATCACAAAGTAATTTGATTTAGTTTCTATATTGTGCACCATAGTGGACTCTTCTTTACCATTTCTTTTTACATACAGAATGATGTTGGGTTTTTTTTTAAGTTTATTGCTTATGTATTATTCACCGATTATTCCACTTTTGGTTTTCACAAATTGAATTTAGAATGATGTACAAATTAGTATCTTCTGAGCTGTGACATCTTAACAAAAAATTTAACATTTCTTAAAGTAAAAGTAGACTGAGTTGGTGTTCAAATTTATTTATTTTGCAAGGTTTGTACTGACACTGTACTTATATATTTATTATACATCGCTTTCTTGATATTGCTTATAGATTTAGAAGTATTAGTGGTTCTAGCTCACTATTTGAAGACAAATCTCCTAAAAAAAAAAAAAAAAGTATGCTCTGAATACCTGACATGGGCCAGAATTTCATGCAAAAAAAAAGCTTCATTTTCATTTCTAATTGAAGAGCTATTGATCCAAGTCATAATTGCCACTCAAGGTAAATTATCTTTAAATTCTTACTGCATAAAACTATAACGTAAGTATAAAAGATTTTTACTCTCAGAATGAAGCAAAGTATGACTTTTAAAATGCAATGTGTGCCCCTCTGAAGCAAAATCCAAATTTTATCTTCCTGCTGATATTAAAATTTTTTCTTCAAATTATAAAACAAAGTCCTAACCTTTTGAGAAGTTCTTTTTGTGCCAATCGTAAAAATGAATAACACGGTCCCCAGTTCTTTGCATACTCTAAAATCAGAAGTGTTAAAAGTATACCACACAGGGGTGCCTTGGGTGGCTCAGTCAGTTCAGCATCTGCCTTTGGCTCAGGTCATGTTCTCACGGGTTGTGACTTGGAGCCCCACATTAGGCTCCGTGCTGACAGTGCAGAGCTTGTTTGGGATTCTCTCCCTCTCCCCTCTCTCTGCCCCTCCCCTACTTGCTCGCACTCTCTCTCTCTCTCTCTCTCTCAAAATAAATAAAAACAAAAAAAAAAAATCACACCATACAGCTTTCACATTATTGGAAGTTCGTACTCAAAGCCTTAATGCTAGAGCAGTGACCACTTGCTTGTCGACAGAATTCAGGCTATTCCAGTTTGATGGAGTTTGCACAGTGCTACAGGTTTCTTTTCAAATAATCTATAATAAATGCACAGTACTGCCCATTAAAAAAAAAAAAAATTCCAGAAACACGTCATCATGCTTCTATAAATCTGACATCTTTTCTTCTGGTTTGGCATACCGTGTATTGCAAACTGAATTACTGGCCTAACTGGCTAGAGTCAAATGAAAACCCATGCAGAGATGAGATGACTGGTCTCTCTAGGTTTTATCACTTGGCCTTGATTCTAAGCTCCAGTCCCACCTCACCCCCATCTTTAACATAGTTCATTTGGCTGCAGAACAGAATCAGCAACTTCCTGAGACTGAAGTGAGACCACGTCTCACAAGTGAATATATTGCCTGTACTGAACCCTACTTGATTGTTCAGTTCCTTTTGAGGTGAAAGCACATCCTCTATTTGATTCTTTGGGACTTCAGGAAGGACACATTGCTCAAAACGTAAAGCATCTATTCTATTACAACTAACCAAAACAACCTGGTGTTTGCTGAAAATACAAAATTTTTATTTTAGTTTATCTGAACCATAGAGTTATGATGGCATACCAAATGAAAGAAATTACCCTATTTAGAATGAATCAAAAATGGCCACCCAGACTGTACCATACTACTTCATACTTTCCATACTACTAAAAATCTGGGTAGCAAACTTTTATCAGTAAGTTGATATGGAAAGGAATCTAAATAGGAGCTCCTGGGTGGCTCGGTTAGTTAAGTGGCCAACTTTGGCTCAGGTCGTGATGTCGCAGTATCTCTCTTTGTGGGTTCGAGCCCCAGGTCAGGCTCTGTGCAGACAGCTCAGAGCCTGGAGCCTGCTTCGGATTCTGTGCCTCCCTCTCTCTGCCCCTACCCTGCTCGTGCGCGTATGCTCTCTCTCTCTCTCTCTCAACATAATAAACATTAAAAAGAAAAAAAAGAACCTATTTATGCAGGTTAGGTTTATTACAAAGTTTGGAGGAAAAGTATTTGAAGACGCTTCACTAAAAGCAGAGGAACATGAGTTGTGTTACTCTGTATGGTGATGCCAGCTTTACAGAATATACAGAGCTGATGAGAAAGGATTAGGTAAGAATCCAACTTGATCAGTGATGCTGAAAGAAATAGACTAACTTCCTCTCGGTCACCTGTTCATCTGCAATTGGTTGTTTTACAAAATAATAGAAGGTTACATGAGGTTGTTAAGGAAGCCAGGGTAAGTTTGAGGGCACATTTGTAGGAAGTAACAATACTATTTGGGCGGAAAGTGCCCTCTTGAGGGAACCTTCTTTTCATGTCATCCTTTGCAAGTAAGTTATTTATAAACTCTCCAGTTGGGGGTATATAGTTGCAGCTACAAGTGAGTTACAGTGCCTGTTTTTAATTAAAGTTACTTTCTTACAAAGGTCTCCCATCTCAATGGCTCCGGAAACACTGGAGGCTCTTTAATGAAGCGGGCCCCCTGCTGCCACACACCCACTCCTTCCTCAAACTACATCTTCCCCTTCCTCTGCTCTCCCTCCCTATCCAGTACCTCTGCAGATCTGTCCTCCTCTGCCTGGACAACCATAGGCCTTGCTTAATTCTGACAAGTAACAGAGATTGCATTCTGCCTGGAAAAAACTGAATTGACTTGCCCACACGATACTCCACAACTCGGCCACACCAAGAGAAGAGTAGGATCTTCCTGGCTGGTGTCGGATCTCCAACTAGGCGGAGTGGGAGGCAGTCCACAGCCTACGTGCTCTCCAGACGGCTGCCTCGGACCCCTCGCAGTTGCTTCTCTCACATGAGCGTCAAAGTGACAAGAGGTGAACACCTGGACCCTCCGGAAAGTTATTAGAAAACAAAGATTGCCTCTTACACCAAGTCCAGCACCTATGATATGGGGCACTGTCAACAATTTATGTGTTCTTGGCCATCTCTAAGTATCAACTTCCTGAAAGGAATCTTTGGCTGATGGCTAAGGATTTGGACATGGGATGACCTGAAATGAGTGTTTTTGAAATACTGACTCTCCATGATTACCAAGCTACTCATTCATATACATCTCTTAGATCCAAAATATACTATGCTCAAGCAGACCATCAAGCAGGTCTCTGAAACCTTTCCTAAGTCTCTGAACTTTGAAATAATTCACTCTGACACTGAATTGGGTAATGTTGCATTTTTTTTCATGTTGTGTGAATGATCTGACTTAACATGCAGGACCATGGAAGACTGAAGCTGTGTCTTACACTCGTTATTATCCCACTTCACTTTTAAGTGCTTAGCACAGTGCTAAGCACATAGTAGGTGCTCGATATTGGTCTAGTTAAAAATATATTAAGGCTGTAAGCTTGTTATAGCCTCAGGATATGTGTGTGTGTGTATGTTACTATGATATTTAGTTCTGAAAATGAAACTCGTCAACACAGGCCATGAAAGTTTATGCACAAGTAGATTTCATTCTCAAATTCATAAAGGGTATTCAAATACTAGATGTGTAATTTTATGGTCCCACTGTGATTCTCTGTATGTGTAACTACAAAGTTAAAAGCATAATACAAGTGTGAAATAGTTCATGAATTTCTACTTCAAAATTGATTTTTCACCTAAACTAGTTTCTCCTGCCAAAGTGAAATATAAATGTATTTGTATATGTTTGGAAAATAAATGATTTGTGACATGCATTGGTCATTTGCGCTCTGATGGGGAAAGACCATGTGGTCATCCAAACATCTATTCATAACGTTTCTGGACTCTGTTTTATATCTAAAATGTGGTTTAAAAGCAAATATTTATATATTAAATTGTACATTTTCATTAAATAATCAAGCCTACAAAAAAACTTTTTAAAATCACATAAGAATATGCTATATATATATAAACATACACACACACACACGCGCACGCACGCTGAAAGATAACATGCACTGTTGAGCAGATATCCCCCATTAAGCTGGAATAATAAAGGCAATTTCTATTTCATTTATTTCATGAGGGAAAAAAAGGGCTTTAAGCTCTAGAACAAAGGAACTGGCTTCTATAGTTTCAAAGACATAGAAGATCTATTTAATTGGGAATGCTGTACATTTTATTAAATTCTCACATCACAACAGGAAGCAGAAGGGTACCTGGCTGGCTCAGTCAGTAGAGCATACGGCTCTTGATCTCAGGTCCATGAGTTCAAGCCCCATGTTGGGTACAGAGATTGCTTAAATAGAGAGAGAGAAAGAAAAGAAAGAAAAGAAAAAAGAAAAGACAAGAAAAAAGAAAAAAAAAGAAGGAAAGAAAGAAAAGAAGAGAAAAGAAAGAAAGAAAAAGAAAGAAAGAAGGAAGGAACAAACAAACAGGGGCTCCTGGGTGGCTCAGTCAGTTAAGCATCTGACTCTTGATCTCAGCTCAGGTCATGATCTCATGGTTCATGAGACCAAGCCTCACGTCGGGGCTCTGCACTGACAGTGTGGAGCCTGCTTGGGATTCCCTCTCTCCCTCTCTCTCTGCCCCACCCCTCTCACTCTCTCTCTCAAAACAAATTAAGGAAAAAAAAAAAAAATAGGAAGCAGAAAAAAGCAGCTGTTTTATTTAATTATTCACAGTAAAGAATATTTATAACCTGGTTGTAATAAAAACTTATTTCAGAGGTCATTCCTAGAATATGACAGTATCTTAGGTAAAATATTGTTTAATTATATTCATAAAGAAGAGGATCGTATCTGTACAAAGGGAGAGGAGGGGCTGGAGGAGGGTAGGAAGAGGAGGAGAGGGTGGAAGAGGAAGAAAAGAAGAAGAAAAGCCCTTCAATAGGCACCATTTATCCTTAAACAGAGTCAAGTCTTAGACTTGGTTTTTCCACCCAGGAGTCCTTCCCCCATCACCCTCCAGAGCACATCAGAAAATGCAAAGAACTTTGAAGAAATTAGAGTCACATTCAAACTTTCATTGCAAGTAGCCATAATGAACACTCTCGTTCTTTTTTTAAAAGATCGAATTAGGGGCGCCTGGGTGGCGCAGTCGGTTAAGCATCCGACTTCAGCCAGGTCATGATCTCGCGGTCCATGAGTTCGAGCCCCGCGTTGGGCTCTGGGCTGATGGCTCAGAGCCTGGAGCCTGTTTCCGATTCTGTGTCTCCCTCTCTCTCTGCCCCTCCCCCGTTCATGCTCTGTCTCTCTCTGTCCCAAAAATAAATAAACGTTGAAAAAAAAAAATTAAAAAAAAAAAAAAAGATCGAATTAGATTACTTCTTGAAGTGTATCATCCAACAAGAGCCAATGAACTTGGTGTCCAATTTCAAACTATTTTCTCTTTTTCTCAAAAATCTTTATACAAATATACTCATTCAAATATAGAATTCTTATTTTCATCTACAGTGTTCCAAAAAATATATATTTACTTCATTAGAAAGCGTTTTGGTCAGGACGCCCAGGTGATTCAGTCAGATGAGTGTCTAACTCTTGATCATGATGAGATCATGATCAGGTCATGATCTCATAGGTCTGTGGGATTGAGAGCCCCACATTGGGCTCTGCACTGACAGCAGGGAGCCTGCTTAGGATTCTCTCTCTCCTCTCTCTGCCCTTCGCCTGCTCGCTCACACGCTCTCTCTCTCTCCCCCTCCCAAAATAAATAAATAAACATCAAAAGAAAAAAAAAAAAGTTTTGGTCATAAAGAGTAGCTGAATGGTATAAAGCAATCTCACGGTCTTGATTTTTCTGCACTCTATGCCCTCATTTTAATCTAGCAACTGTAATTCAATTAAGTTCACTTCAAAGATTTTTTTTTTTAACTATAACTTAAGATGTATATTAAGTTTTAAAAAGGCAACATCATTAAGAAACTTCCAAATATGGGGGTAGGGGGCTCTCAATTCTCCTTTCTTAATGACATTTTCAGAATCTGGGCAGAACCCTGTGCCATGCAAAGGGTAACTCTTCCACCTCTGTTAATTTTCTTAGGAAGCTTCCCTTATGTAAAGAGAATGTCCTAAATTAACAATATGTCTCTATGTGCATCTAAACAAACACAAATATGCAAGAAAGCCCGTGGACACTTCACTCTTCTACCTCCGCAGTGATGTTGTCGAATATCTGCTGAAATCCAGAGGCAAGTGAGTAGCGACTTCACTGCAATGTCTTTTGATTAGTTGATTTAAATCTTCATTCAAAAATGCATCCCCTTGTAAAACTTCATCCTGCAAAAATATTAAAAGTAACTCATATTAAAAGTTCTAAAAGCCAAGCTGTGAGCAAAATTAAAAATGGTGACACCTGACCCCAAGCCAACATGTGCCGGGTCTTGGACATCTCCTGTACTGAACAAAACGGTCTCAGGACTGTCTCCACAGAATCCCAGCCCCACAGATCCAGCCTACCATCAACTCCTAAACATGAGAGGAAAAAAAAGTACCTATAACACAAGCAAGTTGGAATCAGTTAATAAGAGACATCCTTAGTTTTTATTTCATCTTTTAAAAAAACATGAAAAGTATCACATACCTTCCTTTTGGAACTTGAAGACTGAACAGGAGGATTGAATGTCATTGCAGCCATGCTGTAAGTCTCAAAAAGTTCTGTAGCAGATCTATAATCACAGAAGAAACGTAAAGACATCACCATACCCGTGTAACTTGAAAATAATTAGACTGTACCCAAAGAGAAGCACGCATTATTCTAAACCCATATAGTGAGGGACAACCTAATTTTGCTCTTAAAACCAACAAACTCATGTAAAATAAACCCTAAATTCCCATGTAATGACAATGTTATCCAACTAAATCCACCTCCGAGAGGTCTGCTGTGCATTGAGAAATACAGGCTGGACAAAAGACAAGGCCGTGCAGAAGACCTCCAGCTCAATGTGATCAAATCCCAACTCAACCACAGTTATGTGAACAATATGCAACTAAGTCATGGGGGTCCAGAGAAGTGAAGCACAGTGTTACCCTCCATGGCTTTCAAACGGCTCAATCTTTCAGTTACTGGCCTAGATTAAATGTCCATACCCATGGCTGTCCACGAATGCTTAGTGATTTGGGGTTGGTTTACATTCTCTGAAGGAGATTGGGAAGGGCCTGCAACAGTCACATCCCAAGCTCCACCCTCCAGGGCAAGACCACCAGGAGTCTCCTTTCTCAAGCTTGTGGGATAAACCCACCCTTCATCTTCCTCCAGAGAAGGACATTTCTGGCACAAATGAGGCAAACGTTCAAAGTCTCTGACAAAAACATGCCATAAAAGGAACATGAATAAGAAAACTGACAAATAATTGTTTTCTCCTTTCTCTCCCTTTTAGAAAAGGCTGGGGGCACTTGGGTGGCTCCGTCAGTTGAGCATCCAACTTCAGCTCAGGTCATGATCCCAAGATGCATGAGTTGGAGCCTCACATCAGGCTCTCTGCTTGTCAGCAGAGCCTGCTTCGGACCCTCTGTCCATTCCCATCTCTCTGCCCCTACCCCATTCGTTCTCTCTCTTTCGAAATAAACTTTAAAAAAAATAAAAACTGGGGTGCCTCGGTGGCTTGGTGGGTTAAGCGTCCAACTTCTGCTCAGCTCATGATCTCGCAGACTGTGAATTCGAGCCCCACGTCAGGCTTGGTGCTGACAGCTCAGAGCCTGGAGCCTGCTTCCAATCCTGTGTCTGCCCCTCCCCAGCTCATGCTCGGTCTCTCTCTCTCTCAAAAACAAATAAACATTAAAAATAAAATTAAAAATAAAAAACAAGGCTGGAGGACAGGTGGGAAGTATGAGGGGAAAAAAAAAGCAAACGGCCACTTTATCATTTAATAAGACCAAAAGTTATCTTTAGTCTACCCAGAGGGAAAAGCATTCATGGAAAACTAGAGTTTATGTCTCATTTAGAAGGGAGGAAGCAGCTGATTTCTGCCATGTAAAAATACAGATCTATTTTGCCAAATCTCCCAGTACTTCAAGGAGCTGGAAATTTTATTTTTAGGTGAATTCCTCTAATATTTAAAATATAGCAAATAATTCCATTTTTGTTTAAACTGTGAAGAGGCCAGAACATCAGTCTGCTGACCTCCTGATCATGTCTGTGATCTCCAAATTAAAGAAACCAGTGGGCTGCAAATGAGAAAAATTTATAGCAAAATATTAATTCTGAGTGGTGGGTATATTACAAAGGTATCTTTTATGTCTTATTTTCTTATAACTCAAGTATTGCCTAATTTTGTAGGGAAAGAGGTAATATCTTTTTCCACTTTTCTGTACTTCCGAAATTTTTCAGAGTAAGAAGCTGGAAAAGCAACTTCTCCCGGCAGGACCCTATTCCCCATCTGGAGTGCACGACGAATGCTGGGAGTGGCGGCAGGTCACGACACACTACACAGAGATGACCGTGAGGTGCAAGAGAGAAACTGCCGTCCCGCTTGAGTGCCAGTGTCACAAAGCACTTCTTTTCTCTCATTTCTCCCTTTCTGGCCCTAGCAGGACCAGCCAGGAGGGGGCAGAAAGAAAAGGAATCTCTCTGTGGTTGGACTCGTGGATCTTCTCATAGAGCAAGTATGGCATTACCTATAATGTGCGTCAGGCATGTATTTTCACTATTTACCTGGATGTGCGAAACTTCTTTTTTTGAGAGAGAGAGAGAGAGAGAGAGAGAGAGAGAGAGAGAGGAGAGGGGCAGACGGAGAATGAGAATCTTAAGCAGGCTCCATGCTCAGTGCGGAGCCCGACATCATGACCCTGGGATCATGACCTGAGCTGAAGTCAAGAGTCAGACGCTCAACCAACTGAGCCACCCAGGCGCCCCATGTGAAACTTTTTAGAACCAAAAAAAATGTTAACTGATTACCAAAAACGAACTAACAAAAACATGCTAACAAAACCCACAGGCGACATGTTTTCTCCTTGGAACGATTCAGAAATATGAAGTGAGACCAAATTCCGATCAACTGGAACTTTGTATTTGAAAATCTATTACTTTATAGAGCAGACTTCTCATAAGAGAGAGCACTCGACTGCAATGTGTAGTCTGATAATAAGGCAGTGCTGACTACTAAATACCTCCGGCTCAACTCTGGTTTGAGCGCTTCCGAGCCTTCAGAAGGTGCTCCGGCGATCAGGTGAGCTGCAAATCTCTGCACAATGGGATGGTAATGTCTCTGAAGGGCAAGAACGACCACGTTTTGCACAGGTCAGTACTTTATATAAATTACAGCACTAGCTGCAGTGAAGGTTTTCCTTAATAAACACTATTTTTTAAATCATATATATATGTAATTCACAATAAGCACATCCCAACAGAAAAAATATTCTCTTTGCTCAGAGGACAACATAAATCTGTTTGATGACCAAGTTACCACTGACATACCTTAGTCTTGCTTTTACAGTATGAAAACAAAAAATCAAAAAGCAATTTCTCTTCTAGAGTGAAAAAAGTTCGTTTACAACAGGTTTCCTGAAACATTTTGCTCCAAGCCTCCTCCTATATGCATCTGCACCATGAGATCACAACACAGTGTGGCCCTCTTGAAACTGGGGTGATGTCAGAGTCTCCTCAGGTCGGACCCAATATAGACCTTCCATTCTGAATAGTGTTGGGGAAAGACTGCAGTAAACCTTCTAAACCACACCCCCAAACTGTCATTTTCTGCTTCCTTAGAAAATGTACCTCAACATCTTAAAGAATAGTAAGAGCAAAGCGAAATGTAGACTATTAAAACAGGAATCCTAGGGGCGCCTGGGTGGCTCAGTCGGTTAAGTGGCCGACTTCAGCTAGGTCATGATCTCGTGGTCCGTGAGTTCGAGCCCCTCATCAGGCTCTATGCTGACAACTCAGAGCCTGGAGCCTGCTTCAGATTCTGTGTCTCCCTCTCTCTCTCTGCTCATCCCCTGCTTGCGCACTCTCTCGCATGCGTGCTCTCTCTCAAAAATAAACATTAAAAAAAATTTAAAAAAATTAAAAAACAGAAATTCTACAAAAGGCCATGCCAGAACAAAATATACAGAGGACTCTGGCAATAGTAACTACTTGGGGAAACACTGAAAAACACTGATCACATGAAAAAAGGCCATTCTTACCCGGAGTGCATGCAATTCCCAAAGAGCCGTGTTCTGGGCGTTACAGTACTCAGGTTCATCCAGTTCAGGAAGGAAAACCCCACTTCCCTGAGATTCATTGTCAAGCAACAAATCTGTTTTTGGGAAAGTCTGCAAAAATGTCACATAAAAAGAACTAATGAAATTAGTCTTAGTAAAGAATGTTATTGGGGTTCTGTACTTTTCTCTGTATTGAAATTTATTTTGATTTTATGCTTATAGAAGAGCTATAAGAACATGTAGTTTACAGCTACATTTGTACGGACACAAAAATGTGTCCATCAACAGTGTTTAAAGAAAATACGCAGAACAATAATGTACACTATAAAAAAGCTGTGTTTTCTGTGTGCATGTGGAGTGTTTATATATGAATGAAAGTGTCTGCTGGAAGGACCCACCAAATGGTAAAAGTAAGTTATCTCTGAAGAGTATCAACAGGGGTGAGAATGCTTTCCTTTTGTAATTTTATGTACTTCTTTTCTCGCTGGATTTTGCCATTTTGCTGTTATTACAGTAGTACAGTAGTAATGTAAATGGGGAGAAAGATGCAAACAAGACAGCACTGTTGTTGCACACAGCAAAGCTTAGCTCTACTCATTTGTCTGCATGGCTACTTACATGCATTAATATTCTGTTAGTTGCTAAAATGCCAATGCTTGAATTTGGAAGAACATGAAGAGCGAGGGTACAAAGACGCTTGATGAAGGCAAGGGCTCTCTGCTGAGAAACTTGCTTTCTGCGCTTAGTTAGCATGACGTCAAGGCACTGGAGTACAATCTCGACACCTTCGTTGGTAGCACCTACGACAGCAGATACACCCGTCAGGCCTGTTCCCGCTGCTTTTTCATTGCAAAACTTCACTGCACTCCAGAAAAACCCAAGATGAACTGTCATCACCTGTCCCAAATCGTTTCCCTAACTAACGAAGTAGGGCCAGACTGCTCAGGAAATGCGGTGGTTGTACCACATCTCCAGTCAATTCCAGACGCTCTCTCCAACTTCTACATAAGGTTAAACACAGATGTGTGACACCAGCAGGCCACCATTTTATATGCCAATTTTGATTTTTCATTTCTCATGGACTATAATACCAGTCACAATATATTCTTAAAAGGTAAGTATTTATTAAAAACACAATATATAGGGACATCTGGGTGGCTCAGTCAGTTAAGTGTCTGGCTCTTGATTTCGGCTCAGGTCATGATATCACAGTTCATGAGTTCCAGCCCCACGTTGGGCTCTGTGCTGACCACGCAGAGCCTGCTTGGGATTCTCTCTCTGCCCCTCCTCTGCTCTCTCTTTCAAAATAAATAAATAAACTTAAAAAAGATTAAGAAAAAAACCACACAATATATAAATGTACATACCTGCATGTAACTTGAACAGTGTTTTATATAGATGTGTATAGAATTTCATTGGATCAATATTCAGAACGTCACCTTTGAAATTATAACAAGCAACAATTAGGTATTTTATAGCCTCCAAAGGATTAATATTCAGAATGGCACCTTTGAAATTATAACAAACAACAACTAGGTATGTTACAGCCTCCCAAAGTAAAGAAAATTATCTTACCTTGACCAGAAAGAATATGAAAAGCAGTCTGGACACAGTGAAGGCTTTCTTGATAGCTCAGGTCCTTGGAAAAAAGGGAGAAAGGGGACATTAAGAATAATAATTACCATTTATATCTTAAAAAGTAATTCATTAACAGAGTTACTTACACCAGATTCAATGAGAGTATGCAGTACTACTAATAAATCATCAAAAAACTCGACATTTATAAGGTGAGCAAACCTAAAATCAAACAGAGTTTAGTTAATGGGTGACCTAAAAAGAGAAATAAAACAGCCAGGAATTAAATTTGACTTTAAAACCATATTTTTAATATTCCTTATTTCAACGTTAGTCACAATGGAGACAGTGGTGATTATTGATGTTTTTCATTAACTCAAATTGGTCTTTTTGACAACACCCAGCATAAAACAGATGAGGCACTAAACAAACTGAAAATATTTCAGAAATACTTCTGCCCTATGAAACAAGAACAAACAACTACCCAAGGAAAGTACTCCATGCTGTTCTAACTCATAAAAGGGCCAGGAGCATCAGGTTCTAGGAAAATGGGGAGCGGGAAAAGGGAAAGAAATCTGTTATTTATAGGAATATGGATCCTACGAAAACTTCAAAAAACAAAATGAGAGAATACCGGGTCTAGTATCTAGTTCAGGCTCTGCAATTAATTACTTATTCAATCCTAGGTAAGTCACTTACAGTCCTGGAACTCTATTTCTAGAAATAACTGAAATCACTCAATAGAATAATAGAGGAAGAATCATCTGATCTACTAAATGTGAGAGCACTCTATTTCTAGAAATAACTGAAATCACTCAATAGAATAATAGAGGAAGAATCATCTGATCTACTAAATGTGAGAGCACTCTGTACACTATAAAATACTAGGCACTAAAGTACTTAAAAGTCAAGATATCTCTTCAGTATTAGTGCAAGAGCCTTTGACATTATATAAATCTTAGAAGTGATACATTCCCTCTGTGCTAGTACAATCTTTTTTGGGAAGCAACTGGGCAATATTTATCAAAATTTAAAATGAGCAGACCCTTTGACCTGGCAATATATGCACATGAGGGCATGAAGGTATTTCCAATGCAGCATAGGGGACTGGTCAAATAAACGTATTATTGATTAATAAGATGAAGTATTATAAATGTAAAGAAAAAAAAAAGTTGGATATAGTCATGCCAACATGGACAGATACCCAGAGTAACCACTTTATCAAAAAAGAAAAGTTATGAAACATTACATATAGTATCATTCCATCTGTGTGACAGAAAACAGACCAACACACACACACACACACACACACACACACACACACACACACACACAGGGATATATATGTAGGAATATATATACAGGGAAAATATATACAGGGATATAGGGAACTTGTAATTTTTTTTTTAAGTTCATTAACTTGAGAGAGAGAAAGCATGAGAGAGGGAGGGGCAGAGAGAGGAGAGAAAGCCAAGAATCCCAAGCACGCTCCGCACTGCCAGCATAAAGCCTGATGCAGGGCTCAAACTCACAAACCATGAGATATGCCAAAGTCAGACCTTCAACCGAATGAGCCACCCAGGTGACCCTGTATTTTTAATTTTATATTCTTCTGCATCATTTGAATTTTTAAAAAAATTTTTAAGTGTTTATTTATTTTTGAGGAGAGAGAGACCCAGAGCGTGAGCGGGGAAGGGGCAGAGAGAGGAAGACGCAGATTCCGAAGCAGGCTCCAGGCTCCGAGCTGTCAGCACAGACCCCGATGCGAGGCTTGAACTCACAAACCATGAGATCATGACCTGAACCAAAGTCAGATGCTTAACTGACTGAGCCACCCAGGTGCCCCTGCATCACTTGAATTTTTAACGTAAGTATAACTAAAAACTTTTTAAAATAAAGCAATTGGTCACTGAAAAACAAACAGCAGGCCCTCTCTTTGAATCCTTTAATAACAAGGCCCAATTTTATAATCCCACTGTCAAATAGCTCCAGTCATTAGAAAGTAATGTCTTTATGGGGGTGCCTGCGTGGCTCAGTCAGTCCGATCCTGCAGTTTGTGGGTTCAAGCCCCACATCAGGCTCTGTACTGACAGCTTGGAACCTGGAGTCGGCTTCATATTCTGGGTCTCCCTTTCTCTGCCTCTCCCCCGCTCACACTCTCTGTGTGTCTGTCTCTCTCTCAAAAATAAACAAACAGTAAAAAAAAAAAAAAAGAAAAAAAGAAAAAAAAAAAGAAAGTAATGTCTTATACTAAACAGAACTTGCTTCTTCTCTATTTTCCAACCATCAGTCCTATTTCTGAAGCTGTACTGTCCAATGACAGCCACTAGCCACATGTAGCTATTAGGCACTTAAAATGGGGCTAGTCCAAATTGAGATATGCTGTAAGTGTAAAATACACATCAGTTTTTGAAGATTTTATGGAAGAAAAAAGAATATTAAATAACTCCTTAATAATACTGAATATATGTCAAAATATTTTAGATAAACTGATTCAATACAATATATCGAAATTAATTTCACCAATTCCTTTTTACTTTTTTAATGTGGCTAACTGAACACTTTAAATTACATACCTAGTTCACATTATATTTCTATTGCACTGTTCTACAGGATACTACTCAAATAACCGGAAATCCATCACAACGACCATTATTCTAGCTCACATCCCCCAACAGGTTCACTAGAATATACCAAAAGCTCTCTCTCTGCAGGAAGAGTAGACAGGACTCGAGAAATGAGGTGCAAGCAGGGTTAGAACAGACTTAAAAGTTGCCTGCACGGACCACTCAAAACTCTCTGACAGTGGATAACTGACCACAGTGTGAAAGGAACAAAAGAACTGTGAGATAAACTTTTGGGACCCCCAGAACTTAATAAGCAGAAGGAAGGAATTGCTGAAGGAGATTCAAAAAATAAAAGGTTTGAGATGAGAAAACTAAAAAATGTTAGAACAGTTTCAAGGAAAGGCTGGTGACAAAGAATGAGAGAACAGAGAAGGTCATGGGGTCATCATTAGTGAACCTTGTTTAAGGTTCATGCTTTTTTTGGTTTAGGAAGAATCCAAAAGGTTTCAACCTACGCAGCCCTTACTTGGCAAGACCTTCTAGAACTGCTGGCAGGAGAGGTGACCTCTGGGCCTTCTTCAATATTCTGAAGTAGGTTACAAACACAATATTCAAAGTCTCTGTGTGCTGGCAGAAGAAACAAAATGACTTTAGTATAACGTTGTATATTTTCTCCTGAGTTACCAGAAAGATGACTTTCAAAGTTAAACCTTTTTTGTCCCTTCCTAACCCTCTCCACAATCCAATCTTAGGAGCTTCAAAACAGAATGAAGGTACACACCCTGAGATCTCCTAAGACCAGCAATGATCATGCCAGTTTCTTGCATACAGAAGCCTCATCAAATAAACCAAGATTATACTACCACAAATTGAAACAATAATCTCCAGTTAAAACCCTTTAACAAAACATTTTACAAGCATGAGAGAATGTGAAACTGCCTACCAGTTTAAGTTTTTTCTCAGTGCTCTCTGAAGCTTCTGCTTCTAGAAGCTCTCTCTCCAATTTCTCTTCTGCTTTCTTCCACTGGAAAGAAACAGGGAAAGAATAAGTAAGAGTATATAGCGCTGAGTGAAAAAGCAAGCTTCAGAGAGGCATATATATGTAAATATTCTGACAGACATACCCTAGAACATAGATATAAGCACAATTACACAGACCTGGAGAAGAAGCATACACAAACCAAACTCAGGACAGTAGCTGCCTCCTGAGAGGAAGGCAGAACAAGACTGGGGAGAGGAGCAAAGGGGATGCTAACTCTATCACTAATGGTTTCTTTTCAAGAACAAAAGTGAAGTAAGTCTACTACATTTGCTCATTGTGAATGGTAGACACATGGGATATGCTACTCTCTGTAGTTTTCCACGATTTACATTTTTTCAAAAGAGGAAAAAAAGGGATAAAAATAATTCTTACTGTTAAATCATGTGTAACATGGAAACAAGTCATTAGCAAGACCCCTAGACACACTGACATACAATGCATAAAACCAGATACTATATAGAAATTCAACAAAATATCTGTTTTTTCCACTTCCTTATGCTGTAAGAGCAGCAAACAATGGTTGCTAAGCTGTGTGAGACGCAGGGGGACCGACTGAGAAGAGTTTCCTTCCTGCATGCAGAGTTAACGGCCATGTTCTTAGTGGATCTTTTGTTTCCCCACCACAGCTACATACATGCTATTCCTAACACGGATTCCGAGTTATATTAGAATAGTATGGTACAAATAATTAAGATATTTACCTTCATTTGTTTACAATTATTAAGTCTATTTTTGTACTTCTGTCCTATTTTCACAATTTATTAGACATATTCAAAGACAGATATCCCTGGAAATGTTTTGTTTTGTTTTTATAAGCAATTTGATAACCCTAATAAACTATTTAGAAACGTTCTGAGAAACAATAATGATAACAGTGGTGGTGGTGGTAATTAAAGTTTATAAAGTATGCCCAGCGTCACACACTTGCTAAGTGCTTTACATTATCTTATTAAAGTGCAGAGTGACCCACGAGGTAGGTGCTATTACTAGCTCCATTTGTCAAAATAATAATAAAAAAAAAAGAAGTTACCAAGGTCTCACACTAAATAAACAAGGGGCTGGAATTTCAACCTAGGTTTCAAATACAAGCCAATAAAGAAACATGGTTCAATTAACAAAAATCCACTCTGTTGCCAACTTTACATGAATGTCACCTTTCTGCCAAGGAAGGGATCTGTGTATCACAATGAATCTAAGACCATCTAAAGAGCAAAAAAATAAAAGCCAGCACGGCAAGGAAATTTTTTCAGCTACTGCTCTTTTTGCCAGTGAACTGTTAGTTTAGTTAATTCAATAAGACATTTCTTTACAAGAAGTAGAAAAAATAAAATTCTCTAAACATTAGGTTTTAACACATCTATATTTAACTATGATCTCTTCCTGTGCCTACATTATGATTTTAATCTCAAATCAAACAAAAACGGAAATCAAGCAAACCTTTCTCTGCATTCTTGAAAGAGTTTTTCTCTTTTCCTTGAAAGTCATGAACTTTTTTGGTTTATTAATGTCCTCTGTATCTTTTTTCACTTCTACTTCCTTGATTCTTAAGCACAAGAATGTTTTTAACATCTAATATGAAGAAAACACAATATACAGCTTAATATTCATATCGCCCTCAAAACCTTTATACAGAAAAGCATTTAACAACGTTAATTCCTTCCTTTGTGCAAACAAACAAACAAAAAAACTCTGATACATCTTCTATCACATTTCATACAAAATACTATCATGTTATTGCTAAACATATTTGGCAATTAGTGTCTTTAAAAGGACGCAGTATTTGGCTAAATACACATAACATTATTAGTATTAAGAAGTATAAGGAAGAGAGAACACATCACCTAGGATCGGTCGATAGGAGTACAACCAGTAGATAGGCCAGAAAAAGGTATGGGCCAGTATGGGAGGAAAGGATATAAATTACATATTTCTAAACCAACTTTAATTTGCCAAACCAGCCTCCATTTTGTAGTGAACAATTCTAATCTTCAGCTTCCTGCCCCCCATTAAAAACAAAACAAAAAACATGTAGACCAATGTTATTAATTTTAAGACTAGTTATTTTCCTTTAAGCCAATGGGTCTCCAAATTCAGCAAACATAAGAATCATCTGGAAGACTTAAAACACAAACAGCTGGGCTCCATTCCGAGTTTCTGATTCACTAAGTCTGGAGTGGGGCCCTAGAATTTGTATTTCTAATTCCCAGCTGATGCTCATCTAGGGACCGCAAACTACTACCTTAAGCCATTCAAAAAATCCAGAAATTTGGTAATTGGTGTTTTGTGTGCTACAGCGACCATCCAAACACAAAGACAAAAGGGGTTCAAAATCCTAATTTTCTCTGGAAGAAAACACTCTCCTGACTTCCTGCAGTCACAGCAGCATTCCTGGAAAAAACACTTGAGAACTATAGGTTTTATTCCAATGTTCCAATATGTACATTTGTAAGAAAGCAAAGTATTTCAGTTTACAGCATAGAATGGAAACAAGAAAGAAAAGCATAAACAGTGAACATGAAGTCATCCCAGGTACCAGAAAGATCAGTTGGAGTATTCTGTAGGTATTCTACCTGCTCACAAATAAAAAATAAAGTAACTCCACATTAAAGATGGTCAACTTCTGTTAAAAACCTTTTTTTAATGTTTTTATTTTTGAGATAGAGTGCGAGTGGGGGAGGGGCAGAGAGAGAGGGAGACACAGAATATGAAGCAGGCTCCAGGCTCTGAGCTGTCAGCACAGAACCCGACGCAGGGCTCAAACTCACAAACCGTGAGATCATGACCTGAGCCAAAGTTGGACGCTTAACCAACTGAGCCACTCAGGCACCCCTAAAGATGATCAACTTTAACAGATGGGCACCAAGAATACACAACGAAGAAAGGACAGTCTATTCAACAAACAGTGTTGAGAAAACTGGACATCCACATGCAAAAGAATGAAACTGGAGCCCTGTCTTACACCACTCACAAAAATTAACTTGAAATGGAGTAAAGACTTAAAAATAAGACCTGAAACCATAAGACTCCCAGAAAAAAACATAAGGGAAAAGCTCCTTGGCATTGGTCCCAGCAATGAGTTTTTTGGGTAAGAGACCAAAAAGCACAGGCAAGAAAAGCAAAAATAAACAAGTGGGACTACATTAAACGAAACATTTCCTGCAGGCAAAAGAAACCATCAACAAAATGAAAAGGCAACCTACTGAATGGGGGAAAATATCTGTAAGCCACATATCTAACAAGGAGTTAATATCCAAAAATATACAAGAAACTCCTACAACTCAACAGCAAAAAACAAATACCCGAGTTAAACAATAGGCAAAAGACCAGTTTCCAAAGAAGACATACAACAAATGCCCAGCAGACATATGAAAAGGTGGTCAACAGCACTAATCATCGCAATCCAAAACCACAATGAAATATCACCTCACACCAGTTACGATGGCTATTATCAAAAAGCTAATAGCGGTACCTGGCTGGCTCATTCAGAGGAACATGCACCTCTGGATCTCGGGGTCGAGTTTGAGCCCCACATTAGGTGTAGAGATTACTTAAATAAACTTAAAAAAAAAAAAGATAAGAGAAAACAAGTATTAGGACATGAAGAAAAGGAAACCCTGGTATACTACTGACAGGAATGCAAATTGGTACAGCCATGGAAAACAGCATGGAAACTCCTCGAAAATTAAAACAGAATTATCCTATGATCCAGCAATCCCACTTCTGGGGACATATCCAAAGGAAATGAAATCAGTATCTCAAAGAGATATCTGCACCCCCATGTTCACTGCAGCATTACTCACAACATGCAGCGAAGATATGGAAACAGCCTATATGTCCACTAACAGATCAATGAATACAGAAACTGTGCCATATACATACAATAAAATGTTACTCATCCACTAAAAAGGATCCTGACAGTTGTCACCACAGGGATGAACCCAGAGGACATCACACTAAGGGAATTAAGCCAGACATGGTAAAACAAATACTGTATGCTCTTACTTATATGTGGAATCTAAAAAAAGTCAAATGCGTACTAAAAACAGCTGTTGCCAGGAAATGGGGGAAGTGAGGAAATGTCAAAGGATACAAACTTTCAGTTATGAGTAAGCTCTGAGGATCTAATTTACAGCACAGTAATTATAGTTAATAATATTGTATAATTTGAAATTTACTAAGAGTAAGTCTTTAGTATTCTCCTCACAAAAAAAGATTAAGAGACTACAGATGTGTTAATTAACTCGACTGTGGTAATCATTTCACAACATATAGTATACTAAATCATCATGTCGTGTAACCTTAAAAAAAAAAAATCACATCATACAACCTAAATATATACAAAAAAATACAAAAAACAAAAACAAACACCCAACAAATTAAAGGATGTGGTTTATATTACAGCATCACTAAAATGGAAGTGTTTCCCTATGGGCAAGTTTCATGTTCAAGTCTTAGTATCTGATCACTCTACAGTTCTGAGTATTTATTTAAGCCCAATATTTATTTTAGCTGTCCAACTAAAATTATCAGCCCTGAGAAATGAAAGGGATTAGACAGCAAAGAAAGACTTAAAATTAGGGAATAAAACAGTTGTAGAAAGCATCAGTTTAACAATCAAAACTATAGGACTAAAAATGAAGTTAATAAAAATATCTAAGACCCAAATGAAGACAACTATAAAATTTCAGTTAAGGACATAAAAGAAGCCTTAAATAAATGGCAAGATACATATTCGTAAATAGAAAAAAAACTGCTTCTTTAACTATTTTAATTCTCCCAAACTAATCTACACTTTGAATCAGTTCCAATCAGATTCTGTGTAGACTATTTCAGGAAAAGGAAGCAAAAAAAAAAAAAAAAACCAACAACAACAAAAAAAACCTTCATTCTAAATTCCATTTAAAATAATACATAAAAGTAATTTAAAATATTCTGGAGGAAAAAAAGGTCCGTGCCTTTTATCAGTAATGCCCATTTTGATCAGTACCATCCTACAGATGAACTGTATACTATATACGATAAATATAAAGCTCCGGTTACTAAAAGCAGTATGTTACATGTAGGGGATTTACTGAATCAACAGAACAGAAAGTTGAGAAATAAAATTTTGTGTAGAGATTTAATGTAAAATAAACACAGCATTTATATCAGTAGCAAAAGGGAAGCGGTATTGGAATAACTGGCTATCCATTTCAAGAAGTATATACGTATCAGATCTGTAATCATACCATCCACACACATAAAGATGTCAGATGGATTAAATGTTTAAATATAAAAATTAACACTCTTCTGGACAGACAGAATCTATAATCTTGGGATCGAGAACATTCTTCCATGGATGGCAAAAATACATATAAACAAGTAGATATGTTTATATCTATACAGAAAAACATCTAGAAGAATACATACCAAATTGTTAAGAGTAGTTACACCTGGTAACTGGTGAGTTTTCTACTTTATACACTTCTACAAAGAATAAAATTCTTCATTAACTGTTGTAATTTAAAAACAAAATGCAAAGAAAAGAAAGGCTTACCTCTGGTCTAACTTCATAATTTCTGCCCTTCACAAAACCAGAAATCACTTTAATTACACCAAGGGAAGCTTGGCCTAATTTATCTTGTTTAAACAGTTTCTTTACTGCCTCACAACACATTTCAGATATCTGAAAAATAAAATGTTACACTCAGCCAGCGTTTCTCAACTTTGGCACCACTGACACTTTAGGCCGGACGATTCTTCACTGTGGGGGGCTGTCCTGTGCATTGTGGGGTGTTTAGAAGTGCCCCAGCCCTGACCCGCTAGATGCCAGGAGTAGCCACGGCAGGCAGTTGTGACAAACTGTGAGCAGACGCGGCCTAATGATCCCCAGAGGGCAGACCAGCCTCCTGCTCAGAACCACCACACTATATTTCTGTTCAAAGAATTTTCTTAGACACAGTGTTTAACAAAGTGACCCTATGTTAGCAATAAATCGTAACTCCAAAAGAATTCTGAAAGAGAAAAAATAATAATAATCACAAAGCCGACAACAACAATCACTTAAAGCAACCCACCGATTTTGACACGTCATTCATGAGAGGGACAATCAGTACAATGATGTTGTTGTGAAAGTTGAAATGAGACAGCGCCACCAACAGCTCGCACAGGCTCTTCACAGCCACTTCTGCCAGTCCTTTGTATGCCTTTAAGGAAACTACATTACTTTTCTTCAGTTTCCTTTGCTTCCAATCTGATCAAAAGATAAATGCAGTTACTTCACTCATTGATTTAAACTTCAACTAATTAGCTTTCTTTTACAGTAACATGCAATAACACAACAACTCAATACACTGGACAAATTCTTAAATGAATTGTGTCTGAGACACGAGTATAAATGTTACCATTAAAATTTATCTGCCATCATCCATGGTCTGACTCTAACATAATGTTAAGAACCTTGGCTTTCCATACATATTAAAAGATGTATCATTAGGGAAAAAAGACCTCAGGGATAAAGGGGGTAGGGGAAGACAGGGAACTGAATGCCTTAAAAGAATCCTTGGGATGGGCTCTACCGGACTTCCCCCAAAACACTAGACTACAAGTCAAGAAGCCTGGGTTCAAATCCTAGTCATCTATTAACTGGCTGGTGAATATGAGCAAGTTCCAGATTCTGAGCCCCAATCACTTCCATGTTCCAAAAATTCTGAGAATCCAACACATCGTTTCTCCTGACTTCTTGCTGATGCTGTGATATCTTTACCCAGGAGGGCCAGAAGAGATTTAAATTTTCCTTCAAAATAGCCAATGATTCACAGTACCTCTTTTCTAGAAGTTTCTACATACATACTCGGCCTGCTACTGTAACATAGCATCTTGAAAATAAAAATATGCTGTTTTTTCTAGAGTAGGTTCAACACTTCCCTCTACATCATATACAACCAGAGATAAGAAAGACAGTGTGGATGATAGTGCCTTTGTTTTAAACTTGCTTCTCACATATACGAGTTTTCCTTAAACAGGCCGTATTCCTAAGAACCATATCTTCTATCTACTTAAAGCTGATGAGACTTCATAATGAATGGAGGAATAAACAAAATGTGGTAAAGATATATATACAACGCAATATTATTCAGTCTTAAAAAGAGAGGAAATTTTGACACATGCTACAAACATCTTGAAGACATTATGCTAAGTGAAATAAGCCCGTCACAAAAGGACAAATACTGTATAATTTCATTTATGAGGTTCCTAGAGAAGTCAAATCCACATTAAATTCAAAGTAGGAAGTAGAATGGTGGCTGCCACAGGCTGGAGGCAAGCGGACATGGGTAGTTAATATTTAATAGTTACAAAATTTCAGTTGGGGAAGATGGAAAAGTTCTGGAGATGGATAGTGGTGATGGTTGTACAACACTGTGGATTTACTTAATGCCACCACACAATACATTTTAAAAATAGTTACAATGACAAATTTTATACCTATTTTACCATGATTTTTTTTAACATAAAAAGATGACTTCATAGGGGCGCCTGGGTGGCTCAGTCAGTTGAGTGTCCGACTTCAGCTCAGTTCAGGATCTCGCAGTTCATGGGTTCAAGCCCTGCATCGGGCCCTGTGTTAACTGCTCAGAGCCTGGAGCCCCGAGCCTGCTTTGGATTCTGTGTCTCCCTCTCTCTCTGTCCCTCCCCCACTTGTGCTCGCTCTCTCTCTCAAAAATAAATAAATTTTTTAAAAAAGAGGACTTCATAATGGTTCAAGCTGCTCAGAAAAGGCCCAGACCTGCATAGTGCAATACAGAAGCCACTAGCCACATCTGACAACTGAGTACATGAAATGTGGCCAGTACAAATTCAGATGTGCTGTGTGAGATATGCACCAGATTTTGAACTTAGTTCCAAAAAAAGAATTAAGATACCTTACTGATTTTTTAAATTTATTACATGTTGGGACGCCTGAGTGGCTTAGTCACTTAAGCAACCAACTCTTGGTTTTGGCTCAGGTCACGATCTAACAGTTCATGAGTTCGAGACCCTCTGTGCTGACAGCACCTATCAGCACCTTGGGATTCTCTCTCTCACCTTCTCTCTGCCCCTCTCCCACTCATGCGTACATGTGCTCTCTCTCAAATAATCTTCACAAAAAATTTTTTTGAATTGATTACACGTTCAAATAATTTGTATATACACATAGTATAGCTTATTACTTTTTTTTTTTTTAGTGTGGTTACATACTGCTTTTATTTTTAAGTGCGGTTACACATTTTTTTAAATGACATATGTGTCTCATTTCCACTGGACAATGCTGGTCTACATAAAGTTCCCAGGCCTTACAATATATGCTATTAAGTAGGCTCCAGCTGGGCTGCCAGAGCATAGAACCAACATCTATGGCACCCTCCCCTACTTCCACTACACTCCCTGTCCTTACTGGGCCAACAGGATTCAGTAGTCCCATTCCAGCTGTGACAGCATCGGGGTGATCTGTAGGCCCAGCACTGAGTGAAGGAGCCCAAATGACTCAAGTGAAAGCCCCTGGCCTAGGCACCCGAATTCCTTCTCCATTCATGCTCCAATTTTTCCTATGCCCTTCCTTTTCTGAAGAGAAAGAGAATAAGGGTTTGAGGGAAGAGTTTATCATCCAGTATGACTGACCTCTAAGTCCATTTTCAAGGCACTAATTTCATCCACTTCCAAGTCACCCTTCTCCCCTAACTACCCTCTCCAAATAAAAGCCAGCAGAATAAATTCCAACCATTCGCAAATTCAAAAAAAACCTGTAACACTAGGGAAAGGACTGCAGCAACAATAACGCTAATAGCTGATCAAATACAGTGCCTTTACAGGCCAGGCACAGCTCAAAGCACCTTTTAGTAATAAATTACTTCTCACAACAACCCTATGAAGTACTATTATTCCCATTTTATAAACAGAAAAACAGAAGCACAGAGATTAAGTGATCTGCCCATGACATGGGTAACAAGTAGTGAGCCTGGATTTGAACCCAAGAAATCAGACTCTAGACTCTGCTCTTGACAATACACTACAGTGACTCTCACCACAGAGCACAGAATATAGAACTCACCTTCCTGAACAAAGCTTAGTATGTTACATACTTTAAAAATATGTTTTGGGGGGCGCCTGGGTGGCGCAGTCGGTTAAGTGTCCGACTTCAGCCAGGTCACGATCTCGCGGTCCGTGAGTTCGAGCCCCGCGTCAGGCTCTGGGCTGATGGCTCGGAGCCTGGAGCCTGTTTCCGATTCTGTGTCTCCCTCTCTCTCTGCCCCTCCCCCGTTCATGCTCTGTCTCTCTCTGTCCCAAAAATAAATAAAAATGTTGAAAAAAAAAAAATTTTTTTAAAAAAAAAAATATGTTTTGGGAATGCAAGCTGGTGCAGCCACTCTGGAAAACAGTATGGAGGTTCCTCAAAAAACTAAAAATAGAACTACCCTATGACCCAGGAACCGCACTACTAGGCATCTATCCAAGGGATACAGGTGTACTGTTTCAAAGGTACACATGTACCCCCATGTTTATAGCAGCACTATCAACAGTAGCCAAAGTATGGAAAGAGCCCAAATGTCCGTCGATGGATGAATGGATAAAGAAGATGTGGCATATCTATCTATCTATCCACACAATGGAGTATTACTCGGCAATCAAAAAGAATGAAATCTTGCCATTTGCAACTACGTGGATGGAACCGGAGGGTATTATGCTAAGTGAAATTGGTCAGACAAAAATCATATGACTTCACTCATATGAGGACTTTAAAAGACAAAACAGATGAACATAAGGAAAACAAAAATAACATAAAAACAGGGAGGGGGACAAAATAGAAGAGACTCATAAATATGGAGAACAAACTGAGGGTTACTGGAGGGGTTGTGGAAGGCGGGATGGGCTAAATGGGTAAGGGGCATTAAGGAATCTACTCCTGAAATCACTGTTGCACTATATGCTAATTGGGATGTAATTTTAAAAATTAAAAAATAAAATTAACATACCTTTAATCATTTGCTCCAGATTTTCCAAATAAAATTTATATTGGCTAACCAGGCCTTCTTCAAATTCTCTTAACTTTTGGGTTTCTTTGCGAATCTGAAAAGACCAAAAAGACCAATCATTTTTTAAAATCAAGATATTAAAATCCTTAAATTAGCACAAAACGTGAATGCCTGGTATGTACCCAGTCCTATAAAAACAAAACAAACTATTTCTCCCATCTCCAGCTCCCCAAAACGTCCAGCTTATTTTGTGCAGTAATTGTATCCAGCATTACCTTGGTAGATTTCTCTGCCTCTGTGAGGGGTCGTATTTTATATGAAGGAGTAATATCTTTAAATAACTCCATCAGGGAAACTATCACCAATTTTCGAACAGTAACAGCCACATCAGGATCCTGTTCCATCAGCATGGAACGTAATTCTTTCAATTTTTTAATCTGTTAAAGAAATAACTTATAAGGTCAGAGTAACCATAGCAAAACAATTAGGAACAAAAGACAACAACCTCATATCTGGCACAACAAGTAGAATCCACACAATGACTCATGGGGTCTAGTCAAGCCATACACAACTCCAGATACTGTTCACATTACCAAAAGATAAATCACTAAGGCTAATCGTACTTTTGTTAAGTAGTTAGAAGAGACAGACTTAAAAAATAGTTTATATTTATTTGCCTATTCTTTGAAATTCTTTCATTGGTTTTCTTAAAGCATATGTCCTGTTTCCCTAAAAACACCTTTTGAAAAAAATTAAAATGTTACACACCAAATATATTAATCACATCTACACAAATTAATCAGGAATTAAAGATAATGTGTCCACATTAACTTCAGCTTCAACAAGACCCTTTCAAAAATCATTTGTATGAAGTAATACAGAAGTAAAAACTTGGTTTCAATGAATGTGCTTGCTTTGCTAAACTACTATTGCCTGCTGGATACCTTGACAAGCAGCATTGTTTGGTTAGCAATGACTGCCACAGCAGGGAGTAGGATACATATGCTACTACCTATTTGCTATCCCTAACTTGTGTGAGTGTGGGGCTCCAGACCTGGAAGACCCAGGTTCCAATCCAGCACCTCTTAAAATTGTAACAAATCACTTGAATTTTTTAAGATGCAATTTTTCAGCTGTAAAATAAGATCAACAGTTCTTGTCTTTATGGTTTTATAATGATGAAATGAGAGCATGCAGGTGAGAAATATTCCAAATTTCCATCCCCGTTTCTGCTCCAGGTCTTCCCCCAACTTTTTTAAAGAAAAACAAGTACTACTCCAAAATGTAACCAGATGGAAGATTTTTTGCTACAAATGGAAATAATCTACTTTATTGTTCAATAAACAAATTCACAGTAGGATGCTGGGGACTCCAATATAACAGGAATAATAGTACCACTTTACATGACTTCACGTATATTTGATTATTTCATCCTCACAACAAAGTTTTAAAATAGGTACCATCTTCTTTTTAGAGATGAAGAAAACAAGTCTTGGGTAAAAGGATTTACCCAAAGTCTAACAGTACTCAAGGTTTCTTGAGTCCATATGTTATAACTATGACCATCGTCACCACTGTTCCCATGGCCCACTGATAATTCATTGTAACTCTCTGGTCTATTTCACCTAAAATATTTTCCACTTCAAGTACTCCTGAACTAATCTCCCTGACTTTTGTGAGGCATGTTCCTTATTACAAGTTCTACCAATCAGTCAAACAAATATGCAAGTAGGTTCCTTCTCCCTCATCCAATTAATTTTTACACGTACCACTTTAAGAGTTACAATATTAAGCCCCATATCTTCATTTAGAGAGGAGGAAAATAAGACTCAGAGAGTTTGTGGCTTTTCTAAGATTACAAAAAAAATTAGGTTCAGATGTAGGATTAGTCTAAAGTTCTGCCTACTCTTATTCTACACCTCAGTCCCCGTGGTGTTTTTTGTTTTTATGTTTATTTTTGAGAGACACAGACAATGAGACAAATCATGAGCGAGGCAGGGGCAGAAAGAGAGGGAAACACAGAATCTGAAGCAGGCTCCAGGCTCTGAGCTGTCGGCACAGACCGTGAGATCATGTCCTGAGCCAAAGTCAGATGCTTAACTGACTGAGCCAAGCAGGCACCACAGCAGTCACGGTGTTTTAATGCTTTCCCTTCTTGTGTGTGCTTACAGGTAATAAAGGGATCTTAAGATATTAGATATTTACAACATATCTAACATGAAAAGCCCAAAGAAATGAACACTACTTACATTACTTTCTGGGTCTGATAATATGGCAGACGCCAAGGCTGCAATATGCATTTTCTTCTCCTGTAGTTTCTTCCTTCTCTCAATTAAATGTTCTTCTAATGTCAGTTCTCGAATGGGATCTTCAATGATCTCTGAAACAAATTAGGCTTCCCTCTTAAACATTTATTTACAAGTACCCAAGAAAGTTCATCAACAGAGTAATTTTCTTATAGTAATAGACAATAATAATGATAACTTTTATTGGACACTTGCCATGGGCCAAGATTACTACATATCCTCTCAAAAATACTATGAGGCGGGGCGCCTGGGTGGCTCAGTCAGTTAAGCAACCAACTCTTGGTTTCGGCTCAGGTCATGATCTCATGGTTTGTGAGTTTAAGCTTCGTGTCTGGCTCTGCACTGCAGAGACTGCCTGGAACTCTCTCTCTCTCTCCCTCTCTCTCTGCCCCTTATCCACATACGCTCTCTCTCAAAATAAATAAATAAACTTTAAAAAAAGTTTATGAGGCAGGTACAATCATCATACCCATTCTGTACACAGAAAATGAGGCAAAGGGACAGTAATTTGCTTATACTCATAAACCTGGCAGAAATGGAATTCAAACCCGGTGGTCTGACTAGAGAGCCCATATTCTTTTTTTTTTTAATTTATTATTTTTTTTTATGTTTATTTGTTTTTGAGAGAGAGAGCACGATCAGGGGAAAGGCAGAGAGAGAGGGAGACACAGAATCTGAAGAAGGAAGGCTCCAGGCTCTGAGGTGTCAGCACAAAGCCTGATGCAGGGCTCGAACCCATGAATCGTGAGATCATGACCTGAGCCAAAATCGGATGCTCAACCAACAGAGCCACCCAACCGCCCCATTTTTTTTTTTTTTTTTGAAGGACAGATAGAGCATGAGTGAGTGGGGGGGGGGGGGGAGAGAAAGAGAAAGAGAGAAAGAGAGAGAGAGAGAGAGATGGAGACAAAGAATATGAAGCAGGCTCCAAGCTGTCAGCACAGAGCTGTGAGATCGTGACCTGGACTGAAGTCAGACCCTAACTGACTGAGCCACCCAGGCGCCCCATGAGAGCCCATATTCTTAACTATTATGCATAATTCCTATTAATTAAAGGAAAAAGAAATCTGATTTAGTTTTCAAAAAAGTACAGAAGGGCGCCTGGGTGGCTCAGTCAGTTGGGCATCCAACCCTTGATTTCAGCTCAGGCCATGATTCCAGGGTCATGGGATCAAGCCCCATGTTGCACTCTGCACTGAGCATGGAGCCTGCTTAAGATTCTCTTTCTCTCTCCCTCTGTCCCTCTCCCATGCTTGTACTCTCTCTAAAGAAAATATTAATTAAAAAAAATAAAATTTAGAAAAGTACAGCCTTGTTTTCAACTCTATACAGTCCTCTGCACTACAGAAAATATGTCCACTTTTAGAAAAGAAATTCCTAGGGAACTAGATTGAGCAAACACACAAGCATAATCTGTAACCCTAGGAAGAGTGACTGAAAACAGTTAAACAGTTGACCTGTTATCTCCTTTACACTATACGTGAGGTTTGCTAAGCAAAGGTAAAATTTAACCAGCTTGTTCTATCACAAATTCTAAACAGAGAATTTCAAACAATAAAATATGTTCTTTCAGTTTAACTTTGATTGCAATGGTCTTAGCTGTTAGAAACCCACATTCAAAGGCCTAAAGCCGACATATATAAGGATAATTGCTCTAATAAAGAAGTGAAATGGTTTCATACCACAGAATCATTTCTAATTTAAAGCTAAAAGTTCATAATTATTTATAGGCAGGTCTTTCACTTGAAATTAAAAAGGATTCAAACAGTAATCACTTATGAGACTCTTCATGTATGCCTAGACATTACAAACATAACTGCATAAAATTTTCCACAATAAAGAGCAACAAAGAATCAAATTCCACAAGGTGAGACTTTCAACAAGTGGGAAAATGCTCAAAATGACTTTGAAATGACCAGTACTCTAAAATGCACAGTTCCAGACTTTTTCTAAAATTGAGTCATATTTACTATTAAGCAAAAAACTGTAATTCTCAATTAACAATTTAGTAATTATAAAGACACATCATTACCTTCCTCAAGTTCCATCTCTTCTTCATCCTCTTCATCTTGGTTATTGTCAGTAACTACATGGAAAATACATGCATTAAAAATGTGACAATTTACTTCAGCGATAAAACTACAAAGGAAAGAGATTACCATAAAACTCTGGAAAGTAGTTACTTTCGTGAGGAGGGAACAACTAGTGATTTAAGGGAGCACAAAGAAAGTTTCTGGGTGCTGGCAGCATTTATTTCTTGCCTGGATGGTAGTTATATGGGCGTGTTTTTGTGATAAACCACATGACTTTGCAACTTTGATTTCTAGACTTTCCTATGTTTTATTTCATAAGAAAAAAAGATACAGGTAAAAAAAAAAGGCTAAAAAAGGATGACTATTATGTGCTCTAATTTTAGAAACAATAGTATTTGGTGAAAAAAACTCTGAAAAGAAAATCACCTCAATATAGTAGCTTCAGCTATACTCATGGTACAACAGACATCATCTGAGATAATCATCTGTATTTCTGGCTAAAATCCTCAAGCTTGCTCTGTGACTAATTGCAGCTACCCCTATTTTGTAGGTATGGGTGAAAGTAAAAAGAAAATTAAATCTTGAAAAAAAAATTGTGTTAATATTAGTAAGCAGCTATAAGTTTTACTAATCTACCGGCTAATCAGATTCACCTGGCTTCTCCCTGGTCTGTGGGATTATACCACTTTTATCCTTGATAGGAAGCAAGTGAATCAGTTCCTTCTCCGGTGCAGTTTGCAGAGTTCTTGGTATTTTTTCATATTTTTCTATAATACGCTCATGCTTTCGTTTCTTGACATGAACAGGTTCACTGCAGGGAAAAAAGAAAAGAAAATTCCAGCTTTAATGTACAAATGGAACCTAGAGACCAGTAGAGAAGTACAGAAAATACACTGCTAGCCAAACCTCCAAGAGGTATACAGATATTAGCACCTAGACCAGGCACACAGCAGGCACTCAAATAAAAAATGAATAAATGAACTGTATAGTACTGTATTGTATAGCATAGTACTATTGTATAGTATAGTACCGTACCACAGAGACTCAAACTATGACTGGATCTAATTTTTTCCTTCAGATGCAAACGAGTGGGTTATAGCAGATTCTTTTTGAAGACTATTCCACAGAGCCAAGGGTGGTATCGTGCTATTTTACTTTCCCAAAAACCTTCAGACCATAACATGGACTTAGAAGAGTTAGAAAGATCTAAGTTTAAATTTCAGATCCACTGCTTATGATTGCAGGAAGCATCAGTTTCCTCTGTAAATGGGAATAACATTTACATAACATAAAATGGGAATAACCTACCTAACAGGGCAACAAGGATTAAGAACTCAGGACTGTTCTGCCAATTCCCCAAACACAGAGCTGCATTCTTCCCCAGTGCGCTCTACTTCACTATCCAGACTAAAAAGAAATAAAGATATACACTAAATAAGGCCAGTTTGTTTTATTCATGAACTTTCTTAATTTAGGAAATAAACCAAGCCACAAGGTTTACTCTTTGCAAATACTGTGCTCTGAGCTGAACATCTTGTACTAAACACCTACGTAAAATCCAGAACCAAGTTTTTTTTTTTTTTTAATTTTTTTTTCAACGTTTTTTATTTATTTTTGGGACAGAGAGAGACAGAGCATGAACGGGGGAGGGGCAGAGAGAGAGGGAGACACAGAATCGGAAACAGGCTCCAGGCTCCGAGCCATCAGCCCAGAGCCCGACGCGGGGCTCGAACTCACAGACCGCGAGATCGTGACCTGGCTGAAGTCGGACGCTTAACCGACTGCGCCACCCAGGCGCCCCCAGAACCAAGTTTTTAACACTGAAAGGACATGAATGATTATAATCTAAATGAAGTATTACCTAGAAGAAAGATCTCTTGTTAGAAAAGATGCTCTTTGTCCTAAGTCTCTCATTAACTGTAAGTCATCTTCATCCATCATATCTAAAGGAAGGGCTTCCTCTTCTTCCTCCTCTTCCCTCTCAATCCTTTTACCTGTTCCAATACAACAAAATCAGAAACAACTATTAGAAGCACAGAACTCTGTGTTTTTGTGTCAACAAGAGGAAAAGTTTAGGCTTTTCTAATACCTTTGCCCAGTGTTTCTTTTTTTTTTTTTTTTTAATTTTTTTTTTTTCCAACGTTTATTTATTTTTGGGACAGAGAGAGACAGAGCATGAACGGGGGAGGGGCAGAGCGAGAGGGAGACACAGAATTGGAAACAGGCTCCAGGCTCTGAGCCATCAGCCCAGAGCCCGACGCGGGGCTCGAACTCACGGTCCGCGAGATCGTGACCTGGCTGAAGCCGGACGCTCAACCGACTGCGCCACCCAGGCGCCCCTGCCCAGTGTTTCTAAATGGAAGCACTAATGACACAGTGGGCAGGACAGTTCTTTGTTTTACAGTCCTGAGCTAGGCAAAATCCTAGCATCTCCAATCCCTGAAATCTAAATGCCAGGAGCCTTCCCAGGTCACTGTAATAACCAAAAATTAAAATGCCTCCACACATTCTGCAATGTCTTTCAGAGCATGGGAGAACCAGTGATTTAGCCGTTTCCCTCCTTCTGATTCCCAATGACTTTCATTTCCATTCCACTTCAGTCACCCCCTCCACAGGCCACATCCCACACCTTCTTGCTTTCTCCTGCCTTATTCTGTCATTGAAGCCCTCTCCCCATTACCCTTCAAATTCTCTAATCTGTTAACTTCTTTATATCAGCATTTTAAGATGGGTGAAGTCATGGTCCAGTGGGCAATTTGTCAATTTTACTTCGTTACGTAGATTATGTGGATCATACAGATAAAACTGTCTTAACACCTGTATAGTATTTCACCATAGGTAAACAACATCTACGTCATTTAACAATTCCCTGTGGGAGAACATTTTATTTTCAATTTTTGATCATGGGGGCATTTTTATTTCTTTGTTTGCTGTTACTAATAATGTTGCAATGAGCATGCTTGGAAATACATTCTTGGCAATTTTTTTCAAATATAATCATAGATTGATTCCTAACAGGAAGACTATTGGTCAAAGGAAAATCCACTTATTTTCTTAAAATCTTATTCTGTGATAGTGAATATGAGTTTATAAATATATACTTTTCTCCTTTTTATTCAAATGGTATAAGCATCTCATACATGTGGTGATAGCCTATAATTACAATTAAGTGAAAACATCAATACACATTACTTTTCACCTTGTTTTTCAACATTAACTATTTTGTAGAGTATTTGATGTGGACATAAAGACCTTCCTTCTTTCTTGAAACACTCTTCTTCTGATTTCTAAGACACTAGACAGTTCTGGTTTTCTTCCTAATTCTCTGGCTCCTCCTCAAATCCCATTACATATTCCTCCACCCATTTCTTTCTCTTTTTAATGTTTATTTATTTTTGAGAGAGAGAGATGGAGTGTGAGCATGGGAGGGGCAAAGAGAGAGGGAGACACACAATCTGAAGCAGGCTCCAGGCTCCACGCTGTCAGCACAGAGCCCGACAGGAGGCTCCAACTCCCAAACCATGACATCATGACCTGAGCAGATGCGTAACCAACTGAGCCAGCCAGGCACCCCTCCCCTCCACCCATTTCTTAAATGCTGGGGTTCCTTAAAATTCTTTCTTGGTTTTCTTGTTCTCAGTCTCCACAGTCTTCGCAGTCTTCAATTACCATCTATATGCAGATAACTGCCAAAGCTATTCTCTCTAGCCCAGATATTTCACATGAACCTTATACTCTTATACCCAACTGCCTGACAGACTTCATTTAGATGCTCAACATGTAAAAATGAGTATTTTGCTTTTTATATGTAATTATTAACAAATTTTTAAAATTCTACTGAAATTTAGATAGAAGAGATCCTAAAAAGCATCTAACTCAACCATTGCTTTTTTTTTTTTTTTTTTTTTTTTTTTTTAAACAGATGAAGTACCTGGAGATTAAGTGACTAACTTAGGCCACTTTCCTAGTAACAAAATTAAGAAAACCCAAGGGGCACCTGGCTGGCTCAGTCAGGGGAGCATGTGACTCTTGATTTTGGGGTTTTGAGTTCAAGCCCTACGTTGGGTATAGAGATTACTTAAAAATAAAATCTTTAAAAAAAAAAGAGAGAGAGAGAAACCCAAGTTTCCTGACTTCCAGCCCAATGACCTTTTATACATCACAATAATATGTAGCCAAAAGATCAAACTAAATAGGTCAGGATTAAGAGAATGAGATGTAGATGTACATGGGAAGACTGACTAGTCAGATACACTCAAATATGAATACCCTGAAAGTACCAGTAACATTGTAGAACAACTGGTCTGACTCAAAATGGCCATGTTCCTTACCTGTTTTGAGTACTTGAAGTTCTTGGATAATTTTACAAAAGAATAACCCTGTCAGTTACAGCTCAATTTCACTCCAAGTTTCCAAATGAAAAGAAAGTCAGAAGTTTAGAAAACTAAGTGAACTTTGGCAACACTGTGAAGAATGCTCCAGAGAAAGCTATGTTCTTACCTTAGCTAACTGCCAGTGAATGGGAAAGTGGCAGCACTGGCATGCTCCCCAACATTTATTTACACAGCTAATCTGCTTGTTTTCCCAAGTCTTCTTGATCTCCTTTCTAGACAAACTAAAAGCAGAGACTATCTCCTTCTCACAATGAATACTATATTGAAACGTTTTCTCAAATGGACTGATAAAGTATATAGGACCACTATCCTTACCTACTCTTAGGAAGATCTGAAAACAACAGCGGTTACTAGAAAGCAATGTTGTTTCATGAAAAACATTTTATTTGGTTTTTTTTTCCTTTTAATGTTCATTTATTATTGAAACACAGAGAGAGACAGAGAGTGAGCAGGGGAGGGGTAGACAAAAGGGGAGACACAGAATCCGAAGCAGGCTCCAGGCTCTGAGCTGTCAGCACAGAGCCCGACGCAGGGCTTGAACCTACAAACTGCGAGATCATGACCTGAGCCGCAGTCGGTCGCCTAACCAACTGAGCCACCCAGGTGCCTCTATGAAGAACATTTTAGAAAAAATCAATAGTGGGGTGCCTGAATGGTTCGGTCAGTTGAGCACCCGACTTTGGCTCAGGTCAAGATCTCACAGCTAGTAGGTTTGGGCCCCCAACCAGCTCTGTGCTGACAGCTCAGAGCCTGGAACCTGCTTCAGACTGTCTCGGCTCTCTGCCTCTTCCCCGTTTGTGCTCTCTTTCTCTCTCTCCCAAAATATATAACCAATATTAAACAAAATTTTTTTAATTAAAAAAAAAGAAAAACTCAATGGAAACTACAGTACATGAATGCTTTCACAATTACCTGGTTGTTTTTCCCTTGGGTCTTCCAGTGGAATCGGTTTCTTAGACACAGCATCTTTTACAGCTTGCCTTAGTTTCCTCTGTTCTTTTCGGTACTTCTTGAGAGTGCTTTGTTGTTTAAATTGCTTATTTTTTAGCTTGTTTTCAAGTTTCACTTTACTAGTTTTCAGCAACTTCCGAAAGCTTGGGATCTGCTTTTTATTTCTTCTCTAGAAAACAGTAACAGGAGTACTGCACACCCAGAAATTTAAATTGCATACTCACAGCAAAATGTTATCTTTAAAATAAGTGACATTCATAGATCGGTTTACTCTTTGCAAAGTTCTCCAACATACGTATCCCCTTCAAAAGCCTAGTTAAGGAGTGACTGATGTTACCTTCAAATTACTGATTAAGAAGCTAAGGCTGAGATTATATGACTTGTCAAAGATCCCTAAACTAAAAAGGAAAAAACAGAATTCGGGTCTTTGGATTCCAACATTTGCTGGTAACCCCTCATTCAGAAATCCAAATCTCAGCCCTCATTTTCTCTAAAACCGGGGCAAATCACTTACTTTCCTAACTCCTTACCCTTTAGGAGAAAAAATGGGACTCATGTCGAGTCCCATAACACACATTATAAACTCACTGAGAGCAGAACCCTGTTTCTCAACCGTAAAATAAGGGATTCGAAAGATAGTCTCGAAGAACCCTTTAATGTCCGACACCCTACAGAAACAAGGCTCCGTGCCTGTCTCATCGCGGCCCCCTGAAGCCAACCACGCGCACAGTGGGCAATGAAGGAAGCACCAGATCTAAGAGCCGGGACAGCACACAGAACCAGAAGGGAGCCCCGAATCTAGGCCACCGCCCCCAACAGAACAAAAACCCGCGCCAAAACTACATCACGCAGAGATTGTCAGCCAAAAGGACCCTAAACCGCGGAGACCTGGCTTCTCAGGACACTCACCGCCTTCATCCTTAAATATGAAGGGAGTTCCGGCCCTGCAGTTTCACCGGGAATAAAGGTAATCCACAAAACCCGAGAAAGTAACACACGTGCCCAAACCCCGACACTGCGCAAGGCGGAAGCTACCGCTGGCTCCTCCCCATCCTCCGCCTCCGGAAATGGGGGCGGGACTTCCGCACCCAGCTTCAGCCGCGCGCCCTCTCGCGGCGCCGGGTAGGTGGCGCGCCGGCGAGAGCGCACGTGAACGCGTAGTGTCCCTGAGCGACGCCCTGGCAGAAGGCGGGTGGCCCCGGGGGAACTTCGCAAGGTCTGTGATTCTTATCCTCTCGTCCGATTTCCTTTACGGTCTTGGAGGAGTCGGGCTCCACCCTTCAGAACGAAAGGGCTTGATTTTTATTAATCACCTTACTGCACGTTGTGCCACCATCACGTAGCTTACCTCATCCTTCTGTCATAGATACTTATGCAGTTGGTTTTCCTCCGTCAAGGCTTGGGCGCCGAAAAAGCCTTATTCCTTTTGGGTAATTCCTGTCCCTCAACGGGCCCTCTGGGCGTATTTGTGGAATGGCGAATGACGTCTCATGACCTTCCGGAACTCAAAAGTCTCGAATTCTTGATATTTTATCTTCAAATATTTCTTGCCTTCATTTCACCCCTTGTCTGATAAAGAGGTATATCGGTGAGACTCTGCATTTCCATATTTTACAACTCTTACCTTTGCGTAAATTTTACTGTCTGCTTTTGAATTCCAACAGTCATTAATTCTAACAGGAAGATTTATGTATTGCAAGAATATGTTTTTCAGAATGTTTGTCTCTCAAAGGCTTTTTTTTTCCCCCTGAATAAATTAAAGAATTCCACTTCAGTCTGTTTTTTAAAGGAATAAAGTATGAGCGACATCTCAACAAAGTCCCGGCCCCGCAGTCCGAAGGCAGGTGGGAAAATCGAGGAGAGGCTCAGAAGTCTGAGCTCCCTGTTGAATGGTGGTGCTAAAGAGCCAGAAGAACCTGCCAATTTCTGGATCTCACTTCAGAGACCAAGAATCCCATTCTATCTGGAATTCTTCTTTCCCTCCCTTCCAAGTTCACCAGTTTTCCCTGTTGTGCTCTCTCCTTCCCCACACACTCTCAGAAACAGCAGAGCCTGTCCCACTGGAGTATTACTTCATCGAGCAAATTGAAAACATTAGCCTATGCTCTTCCCAAGTGCCTGAATTCCTTCCCAAACACATAGCAATTTGTCTTCTGATCACTCCCATCCTTCCAGCTTTCCACCAGTCTCTCCAAAAGTGAGGCATCCCCATTTAGGTACAAAACCAGCTTCTTCCAACTTTATCAGACTCCTGTATCACTAATTATCCCTTCTTTCTCGGTTCCCCCTCTACTAGATTCTTCCCCTCAACCTATTAACATATTCAAATCTCTACCATATTTTTTTCCTAATGACTTATCTCTTTTTTATTTATATATATTTTTTAGAGAGTTAGAGTGCACAAGTGGGGGAGAGGGAGAGAGAAAATTTCAAGCAGGCTCCCCACCTACCGCAGAGCCTGATGTGGGGCTCGTATGATCCTGGGATCGTGACCTGAGCCGAAATCAAGAGTTAGACGCTCAACTGACTGAGCCACCTGGGTGCCCCAGACTATCTCCTTTTAATTTAATTACAGTTTCATTTTCCTCCTTCCCTGCTTGTCCTTACTTCCAAAAATCTGGTATTCTGATGTCTCCACTTCCTCCTTTGTTATTACAGCCCAAGTCTGTGCTAGCTTTTTTAGGAATTAAATCACATGCTTGACCCATTTTAAGTTTATAATCAACTTGAATCCCTAGATCATTTTTAAGCAATTGTTGCCAAGCTAAATCCCTCCCATCTGGAATTTGAGCAATCTATTATTTTTACACAAACTTGAAAATGGAAGCTTACATGATTCCTACTAGTTTAATCTTAATGGTTTCTCAACTCTGTCATCTTCAGGTTTGTGTCATTTACCATTAGCTCAATCCACTGCTGAACTCAATTTGGGTTCTAGATCCTCTTGGATCTTGCAGAGATTTACTGGACACTTGGGCTAAGGGAGGTCACTGGGCTACCTCAAACTAGTTTTACAGGGATTGTACTTAGATTCCTGTGAGCCCTTTTGAGCAGTCTGTAAAGAACCCATCTGGGTCTGCCCATAACATTCCACTGAAACTGCTCTCCTTAGGGTCACCAAGAACCTCCAAATTGTTTTTCTTTTTTAAGTGTGCAATAAACCATATCACTTCTTTTTACTTTTCTTAACCTTTAAAAAAAAATTTTTTTTGATGTTTATTTTTGAGAGAGCACAAGCAGGGAAGGGGCAGAGAGAGAGGGAGACACAGAATCTGAAGCAGGCTCCAGACTGAGCTATCGGCACAGAGCCCGACAGGAGGCTTAAACTCACAAGCTGTGAGATCATGACCTGACCGGAAGTCTGATGCTTAACCGACTGAGCCACCCAGATGCCCCTTAACTGTTTTTAGCACTGTCTTTGATGCTACATATTTCTCCTTCCTCACACCACAATGTGTCAATGGTCTTTGCTCCTCTACCAGCCTCTTCCTCAGGTTCTCGTCCCACCTCCATTCCTTCTTCCTCATGCCTCTTCAATGTAAGTGATTCTCAGGGTTCTGCTCTTGGTCCACTTTTCTACTTCTCATTCTACTTGCCTTTTCAATGTGATCTCATCCATCTACATATTGCAAAAAGATTTCCAAACCATTTGTCCAGTCCATACCTCTCCTTCCAAGCTTCAGTGTTATAGCTACCTCCTTATGGACATCTCCACATAGTAACCATAGAGCTTCAAATCACCATGTTCAAAACCAAACTACTTTTTTTTTAACTTGTGCCTATGCCATCCAATATTCCCTATTTCATTCATTTACCCACAGCTAGAATCCCAATATTCCAGAGATCATGGGACACAAGCCAGGGCTTTCTTAGCCATTTTCTATAAACAGACTGATTTGAAAAATGTCACTAAATGGACATGGAACAATAAGGCTTCTGGTGTTCTTAGATAATTCATCTAAGATATAACAAGAGACCTTGAAGAAACTAAAAGCACATACTAGGCTCAAAGTAGATGTGTCATATTTCCTTATGAGAAATTACTAATTGGTGACAGATTATAAAAAATGTATATTTCCAAAATTCAGGCATCAGGAATTTGAAAATATATATGTCATGGCCTCTACCTTCATCAATGTCAAAATGTAGTTGAGAAAAATATTTGTGTAGTTGAGAAAGATAGTTATGCATGACCAAGTAAAGATTAATAGAAGAGATTGTGTAGATGGTAAAAGAGAACAGAAAGCTTGGGAAGAAATGACAGAACAATGTGTACTTAAATGGACCCTTGTAGAAAGGACAAAGTTCAGATAGATGGGGTAATATTTTCTAAGCAAGGTCACATGGGTAATGCAAACAATTCATATTGTGGTCTATCAGGAAATTATGTTAAAATAGTTAATAACCCTAATTCCAATTAATGATTAATTATGCAGTTAAAATTGTTAAAAGACAAAATAATACCAAAAAATAAAATACGAAATAGCAGATGTCGTTGGTATCCCACCAACATCCTCTCAGCACTTATTACACATATGCAGGAAAAAAGTCCTCTAAAAGTACTTGCAACTTTTCATCTGAAGACTTTCACGACCCCCGCGAAGCAAGCCAGAAGTGCTAAGGAATACCCCTGAGAGCAGCCTTCAACCAGTGACAAATTGAAGTTGAAGGATAAATATAACAATCGTGATAGGCTAAAAAATGTCCTCCAAAGATATCAGGCCCTAATCCCTGAAACCTGTGAATATTACCTTATATGGCCAAAGGTGTAATTAAGGATCTTGAGATGGGTAGATTATCCTGCACTATACAAGTAGGCCCTAAATGGAATCACATGTGTCTGTATATGATAGGAGGAGGGAGATTTCACACAGGCAAAAGAGGAGGAGGCAGTGTGACTACAGAGGTTATAGTGATGTAGCCACAAGTCAAGAAATGCCCCAGCCACCAGAAAGGGGACAGATTCTCCCCTAGCTCCTCTATAGAGAGTGCAGCCTGCTGACAGCTTGATTCCAGTGATAATGGTATCTGACCTATAGACTTGTGAGAGAGTGAATTTCTTTTTTTTTATTTTATTTATTTTATTTTTTTTTCATTTTTTTTCAACGTTTTTTATTTATTTTTGGGACAGAGAGAGACAGAGCATGAACGGGGGAGGGGCAGAGAGAGAGGGAGACACAGAATCCGAAACAGGCTCCAGGCTCTGAGCCATCAGCCCAGAGCCCGACGCGGGGCTCGAACTCACGGACCGTGAGATCGTGACCTGGCTGAAGTCGGACGCTTAACCGACTGCGCCACCCAGGCGCCCCTGAGAGAGTGAATTTCTATGAATGCTTGGCTGGCTCAGTCAGTAGAACATGGAACTCTTGATCTCAGGATTGTGAGTTTGGGCCCCACGTTGGGTAGAGATACCTTAAAAACAAAATCTTTAAAATAAAATAAATTTCTGTTGTTTTCAACCACCAAAGTTGTGACAGTTTGTCATAACAGCCATCGAAAACTGATAACACCAATATTTATACTAATCAATATGTCAATGTCCTCGTTCCTCAGAGGTAGGATGATTCTGAGGCATCTTCCACATTGCCTCCCAGAGATCCACAAAAGGAATGAGCTCCACTTGCAAAGCTAACCTACTCATCAGCCCACTCTTTCACTGTCCTCTTCCCAGTCTCACTTCCCCATCCCTCTATCAATGGTTACTAGACTCTTCTTTAAAATAAACCACTTGTTGGGGTGCCTATGTGGCTTAGTTGGTTAAGCATCCAACTCTTGTTCTCAGGGTGGTGAATTCAAGCGCCGCGTTGGGCTCCACACTGAGCACGGAGCCTACTTAGAAACAACAACACTTGCACTCAAATCCTTGTGTGTAAGTTTCTTGGGGCTGCCACAACAAAGTACCACAAGTTGTATGACATAACAGAAATCTATTCTCTCACAGTTCTAGAGGCTGAAAGTTAGAAATAAAGGTGTTGGCACAGTCTGATCCTTTTTAGGGCACTGAGGGAGAATCTATTCCATGCTTCTGGTTAC